TTAAGATAAAAACTAAAGTTATTACATGGAAATATAAACAAATCTAAATATTAAATTCTTAATAATTCAAACCTATGTTGAACACAATATTGAAAATGAATAATCAGGCTCGAAATCTGGCTAGACCGAAGTAATTCCCAGCCAGTCTGGATCGACTCTTCAAATATTGAATAAATCCACGATACTTTGAGACTGTATCAGTATAAAACATATATAAAACAGCGTCTGGTTACACAAAGAACTTAAAATTTATACGTTATAAAATAAATATAAATTTATTTTAGTTAAAAATCAAAATGTATTTATTCTTAATGGTAACATCAAAATTTAAAATGGAAGACCTAAATTTACATTCACTGCCAGTTACAGAACGCAATGCAGACAGGACGCAGAGAAGAACTGGCATGAAACTCTGCCACTCTTAAATCGCCACATTCTTGGTTAACAGGATAATTGTAAGGAACCATGCAGTAAGCCATGAGTGACATATTGAAACAAAATGTCATAATAAAAACCCATAGTAGCACGAAATTACATGGGTTAACCAAAACATGAAGAAACCTATTTTTTTAATTTTGTATGAGAAGCAATTGTGTCTATTTTAAATCTATTTAGTATTTTAATTTGCGTCATATAAATATCGTATACAATCTGATATGGCGAAATTAAAATTAAAAATTATTATTCGTTCCGACATTTTACATTAAGTCACAGATAAAGCAATATTTATATATAATATTTGTGTTCAAAATCTTTCGATAATAATGTCCAGATTGAGCATTCTGTTAAACGACCTGGGTCTGGATATCCAAAGTTGTCCCCCTCACACTTTAAGATCTATTTTGGTTTAATATTTATATGATTTATATTATTGTTTTGCTTAATTTTTTTTATTATTACTTATATGCTATGTTTGCCTATAAGTGCTTGTCACATTAATTATTTTTTTTTTTCTTTTATCAATGTATCAGTGTGCCGAGCGTTGGCAAGCTTTTATAAATAAATAAGAAGACATCTTTAACGCTGTCTAAAATTATCAACACAATATTGTTTGATAGTATTATATAGATAGACAAGACCCCTGTATCTTTCTCATATCAAACACAGCTTAAACGAAATGCACAGGAATTAGTGTAAGGATTTCTCTAGTGAAAATAATTTCTATACTTCAGACAACAAAGAGGTATCGGTTGAAATTACAACTAATTGTATTAAATAAAGCTATATAAACTGAATAAACTGTCCTTGCTTTCTATCTACGACCTTTGAAATTCCTAACGTATAAGATATAATGTGAAAGTGTCTTTATTTATTAGTCCATGGTTAATTCTATAACAAAAAAATATTTTTCAGGATTTTTCAGTTTGTAAAGCTATCTGCGTCATGAATATGTAAATAAAGAACCGTGAATTAAACCCTAACTTACTGTATATTTAATTCAAATACACTTTGTTTATACACGCGTGAAAACAAATTCCGTGCGCAATGCCTTCTCAACATCCCGAGGCATAAATAATGACTTTAATGTATGAAACATGCGAAAATTACAAGAGTTTTTTATCATGAAGATTATATATTAATAAAATAGTAAATCTACTCACCCATACAACGGCTAGCAGCCAAATAAAAAAAGAAAAACAGATGCCGACGGCGCGCCTTGTGCGAAACGTCTCCCAACAACACCACAGACAAACTGATTACTGTGCCATGTCGTTACTCGTGACCGCTTTATTATACGCAGCGCTAGTGATGTGCACTGTTGCTATTTTAAATGCTATTTCAATTAAGTAGCATAAGCCTTTAATTGCTACTATAAGGTTTTTTAAACATAGACATAAGTCTTTAAGGTCCTGTTAACGTTTCTTTGTATTTAACTAATTGATTCGTGGTTGTTGCGTTTTTATGTTTTGGTCGTTAATGTTTTTATTTACATGGCTCATTAGATAATTAGGGATACTAGGATCACTAAAGTTAAACTATTTAAACAAATGATTACTTTAAGCCTCGTAAATTATAAAGTCATCTTTATTGCTTTGTGATGTTTTTTTATAAACTACATAAATACAGCTGTTAATTTCCTTATGAATATATATATGTACTATATGTATAGGTACTATAATTAGTTATATAAAATAAGTCTAGACTAAAAGCTCGAAAAGCGTATATGGAAAGGATTAATATTGTTAAGTGTATTCACTTAACTCACAGTGTTGCTATACGGGCAGTTGCTTTATTGGTATGCTTTGTATTAGATAGCTGCTATTTTTCACCAATCTACCAGCCAAGCGAAAATACGGCAAAATCGATATTTTACTCTTATCACGTGCAACGTGGACGCCAACTGCTCTGCGCATGACAAGCTGACACGCGGCCGCCATTGTAAACACGCTACTCAGCATCGTAAAACCTTTTTTTATTTTTTATCAGTTCAGGAATGGAAGAGGAGGAGCTTATGCTAAAAGTAGGAAGATTATAGAAGTGTCTTTTTTTAAAGATGAAAAAAAAAGAACAATCAGTTTGACCTGTATGTATGAGATATTGTTGCGATTGGTTAATGTTTGAGTATGAATGGTAAATTGCGTATATATGTTGCGTAAACATTCATACATTCATAGACATGCGTCTGTCCACTAATAGTCCATTCATTTAGGTACAGGTATATTCTAACTTAGGAAGTCCAAGTTTCATCAAAATCGGTTCAGTTATATTTCAGATATCCTAGCAGGTGCATAGTGTTATCAGGTATTTAATGATAATTTTTATTATCGTATGTCGTTTTAATTGTAACATCCCTATTTTTTTTCTTGTTTTTTCCTTTGAAAGTATACAAACTTAAAAAAATACCACCACCACTAATATTTCTGTTATTGCAAAATTATAATTTTATTATAAATTCATATGAAACAATTTGCTCTCGTATCCGCCCTTTTGGTTGAAAGATGCATTCATGAATTTTTATACATAATTCCTAAAGCCTTGATTGCCGATAATATCTTACAGGCGTTAAATTTTATAAACTTTCACAAGATTATTAAGTAAACTTTGTATATTTTTAATTAAAATTTAAAATTTAACTGTTAGGTGGATTTTTTGTTGGGTTAAACCCAAATTAATACATTAAATGCATTGACCTTCGGACCGTTACAGAACAGCTGTAACATCTAAACGTAGGATCATTTAAATCTATTTTAATAAAGGAAAATAATTTGTAAGGTTCTATTTTCGTATGCAACGAATAAATGCCTAAATAACTGGACTAGTGGCTATAGTTGTAGGCTACATAGACATGTGAATGCTGAGACAATCCAACTTCTTGATACAACAGGAATAAGACGTCTAAAGAGAACTAAACCTTTTGATTTAATATACCTAGTGTAGTGTAAATAAGTGCAAGTGCGGTCGGACACACGAACATAGTGTCAAAACATTATAGAACACCAAGACTGTTAATGAACATTACCTTAGTTTAAGCTTTTCACTAGTATTGTAAAAAATTAAGTCAAGATAATATTACTTACTAGCCATAATTACTGTATAGGCTAGTAATTCATGTAGAGCCGCACTCTTTTTTGTGAACTTTATTACAAGAAAATATATATATATATATACATACGTCATGTGTTTACAGCATCAGTATATGCTAATTTCATATATCAATCATAAAAATGAGGTCAGGTTAGTCCTTGTCGTACATATCCGGCCCCATTTCAGAACGTACTAAAGAAGAGACAGTGGATGAAGCGAGAGAGATATATCAGGACTGTAGGGGAAACCCGTGGCCTCTGACTACACCTTATAGATAGATATATAAAAATGTAATCTAATACATATATAAAATTCTCGTGTCACAATGTTCGTTCCCATACTCCTCCGAAACGGCTCGACCGCATTTTCAGTAAGTCTGAGAATCGGACAACATCTAATTATTCATCCCCCTAAATATTAGGGGTGGTCAAATAAATATTTATATAAATATTTATTTATTATTTTGACAAAACTTTTTGTTTTTATTTTTTATGATACAGCATGCAAAAATACATATAACCCTTAATTGTCACCCCTCTACGATCAACCCCTATTTTTTTATTATAGTAGATAGTTATTTTTATTGAACTAAAAAAAGGTTTCCTAGAATGAATATACATGGCAAAACGACGATTGCCGGGTCAGCTAGTAATATAAAGATAGATATGGAAATATCAAACACCTAACGTCTTTGCGAAATCTTTTTAACAGGAGTTATGCAGCAAAAGCATAGTAAAATTTGCAAAGTTTAAAAAAAATCCTGTACCACGTATAATACGAAATATCGTAAGCTTTTCTACATTTTGTATGGAAAATATGGACAGCGCTCCGTGGGCGTATTTAGAACTAAACTCCTATAAAGGTAACGGGTTCAAATATATTTCAAAAACAAGTAAGTATAAATGACAAGGACAATCAAAAAAGCTGGGGCGGCCGCAGAGCTGGCAGAAAATAAAAAAGGCACAAATATAAGAGTTATTCTTCCAACTTCGATTTTGTTCCCTTTCAAGTAGAAAGTCTTAGGAGTGCAAGTGCACAGGCGCTTATTAAAGATTTAAGTTGGCGCCTGGTAGATAGTACCGGTGACCCCAGAGCTGGTGCTTTCCTCGCTCAACGAATAAGTCTCGCAATACAGCGAGGAAATACTGCCAGCGTTAAAGGTACACTGCCACAGGGACCAAACTTTTTAAATTTGTTTTGATTTTCTTTTTAATAATTTTTATTATTACTTTGTAAGTTAAGAAAATTATAAATACTTGATTGTAAGTATGACATATGTTTAATAGAATTATTAAAACTATAAATATAATAGCGGAAAATGTTTTATTTTGTAGTATGAAATCCATATGATAGATTCCCATATCAATAATTCAATTTAATAACAGGTTTTCTACATAAGGATTAGATAATGAAAAACTGATACTACTTTTCTACTATTTATTAGCCCGTGAGCCGACTACAAGGCTATATCTAAATTACTCCCCCGCTGATAGATGAACAATCTTGCTGTTGATTTCCAGGAGCTCCTTCATGTACTCCTGGTCTGACATAATGCTGGCCAGCTTTTTGAGGATGGAGAGGAGCTCGCCGTCACGCATTCGAAGTTGTTCGTTACATTGTTCCACTTCGTCAACTAATTCGTCTGGGATCTGTGGGAAAAAGTATTCTTATAGTTGAAAGTTTATTTATTTGTGATTCTATATTTTCGTATAATTTTATGTAGCGATATATATTATCAGTATTTTTATTCGATTTCGTTCGCTAAGTAAAACAATACAGTTATATATTAATTTTTACACAGTAAGTGACATATCATTTAAAGTTTTTACACTATGAGCTTCTATATAAAAATTTGTGTCCAAAAATCTTAATGTGCACAATTACACCTAATATTTTTCATATATATTTATTGCTATTGTTTTTGAGTTTTTAAACATAGTAAAAGTACCTTTTGCAGCTCTAAGAAGGATTCAAACTTGAGTTTCTTGCGCTGCTTGCCATTGGTGCCATCGAAGAACATCGTGAACTGCTGGTCCTTCTCCTTCACTGGGAAGTAGATTCCAGCTGTTAAGTGTCCTTTCGGGTTTCTGGCTAGAAGACTCCTGTAAATACAAGAGATCTGTAAGATTTTTTTGTCATATTTCTGCTTATTTGTTGGTGGCTCTTAACTAGGGGTTTAAGCAAAAGTTTGATTAAACTATATCGGTTTTAAATTGTTTCTGATGGTTGATGTTAACCTAATCTAGACTTGGCATACGTGGTGAGGCAAGGTTCGTGCTTATTTGAGATGCAAAACCGGGTCTTTCACAAATTAAAAAAAAAAACAAAATTAATTAATTCAGTTGAATAACATGATTACTTTGAATTGTCAATTCTACCGCCTGTTCGGAATCGCGACCAGCACACAATTTTTTTATAGAACAGGGGGCAAACGGGCAGGAGGCTAACCTGATGTTGAGTGATACCGCCGCCCATGGACGCTCTCAATGCCAGAGGGCTCGCGAGTGCGTTGCCGGCCTTTTTTTGAACGTCTTAAGTTATTTTTGCTTATATTAGTTACAATTAAATGAAATATCTGAATAATGTAAAATAAATAAAATATGTCTGAATCCCATTCGTCAAAAATATATTGGATATACATATACATTTCTGCTAATTTATTTGCTTATATACATAACACAATAATAACGATCGTGGTTTTTTGATTGCCTCAAGAATCTTCTGGAGTTATTTACCTTAAGTCCCATACGAGATTCCTCTTCTCTGTAACGCTGACAGCAGTGAGATACGGTTTGGCGACGTAGATCAATGACAGACGCTCTTTGACATTTGACCCTCTAGTATCACGCTCATGCCACTCCACATAATTGTTGTTCTGTAGGTTAAATTGGTAGTTGTACTCCTTTCGGCTGTGTGGCTCGTCGGATTGCGTAAACCAGCCTAAAAAGAGAAATAGGAGTTAGGATAGCAGCTACGAACACTATTTCCTTTAAATTTTTGAAACTCTATTTACTATTAGAGATGTATTTTAATCACCCTTACCTGTATGCGGGTAGCACCTATCCGCCATGACGGTGACAACTCGCGACACATGGTATCCCAGATCTGACAGGAACACTCCTTGTCTTCCTGCTACTCTTACATGGATGCAAAGCATTACGTGGTCTTTTTCGGTCTCGATTAAGAACCCTTGCGGTCCTGGGAATGCTGTGGAGTAGTCCTTTAGATCTTGAATGTTTTCATCACAGGATACCAGCATCATCGACTTGGAGATACCGGGGAAATCGTTCTCCAGGGCTTTTAGACGCTTCATCGTTTCCATCCCCAGACCCACGCAGGTATGCTTATGTGCGCGTATCGGTGGATTGTACTTTGGGAAGAATTCAGCCAGGGTCTCGTCAGGGGCAGCCATGTACGAGTCGTAGAGCGTGATGAAGTTGTTGACAGAATCATAGTTCTCAGAGACAGCGAGTCGGCTCAGTATCGCCTCAGCTTTAGCGACCAGATCCTCGTACTGTTGCAAGGAGAGGTGCAAAGCGGGGCGCGGGCCCCCCCACCGTGGCGGCGGCAGGGGGTGACCGGTGGGCCACTGGGGCCCGGTTTTTTGATACCCGGAGCCGAGTCAGCTCAACCACTCGGCGCCCCAACGGCCCATAACACGGCGTATGGCGCGCTCCTCGCTCGAGGTTGATGCCATCTCGGCGGGAGACTGTACAGCAATCTCCCGAGCAGCCTCCACGCCCAATGGCGCCTCCGGAGACCACCCTTTGGCCTTACTTAACGGTTTTATATTTAACGTATCTGAAATAAAATATATATGTTAATTAGTTAGGCTTATGTATAACTCAATTGGGAACAGAAAAAGTGACGTTGCATGATGAACTCTTTGGAGGTCTTCAAAGACACACTGACATTAGTTCGGTGAAGGCCCTCATCAATCATACTAACATATAGTGTATGAATGAAACTAAAATGTAACACCGGTAGGCAACAGGCAAATCGTGGCCAAATTTTTAAAGGAAAGCTAAAAATATTTAAACTATTTTTGGCACGTGCGTCAAGAAGATGCGCAATATCATTTCTGGAATTATTGCTGCTACGTCGATACGACAAAGAGTAAATCATATCATATATATTTATAAAAACCAAAGTAAAATACGAATAAAAGGAAATCCATGACCTAATATTACCCTATTAAATGGGAAATCCCGCTAAATTCTAACGTCATTGCTACAAAAGTATTTCTATTAACAAAACAATAATTAGGCGTCGACTGATAACTACGATGAATCATGGTTAAAGTAACCATAACTGTTTGATTACCCTAATAATATTGATTACTAACATATACACAGTCTTTTATTTCACTGACTGTAAGAGAATCGATATCTATCGGGTAAAAGTAGGTTAGTTTTTGTCTATAAGTGAAATAAAATATTTACATTAAGTTGCAACCAATCTTAAAGTATATCAATTACAAAGGTTTATAGTGCCTTATCTTAAGATTCTGTCAACAATTCAGAGACAAAAGAAATTAATAATATGTAATTATAAATACTCGTTTTCAAAAGAAATTACGTACGTAACTGGAATATCGTATCTAAACGGAAGGTCTGGAAATATTAATGCATACTGAAGAGTACAGATAATAAAGGATAGTATAGGATGGAATTCAAAATTCCTGAATATATGTATTATGAAGAAACACGTACCCATAGCGATTTACGACTTCGTCCCCTTTGGGTTGTTGCTTTCTCTGCGGTTAAACTTAATATGATGCAAAATTTGTTTTCGCGGGGTATATAAACCGTATTTCCCCCCGTACCCCGCAACCCGTGCGTCATAGACGCTGTCGTGTGAGTGACGTGCACGTGTTGTGAAATACTCTGCACGTGTGTATGTTTACGTGCCATAAGCTAGCGCCTAGCGGATTCTTTATGATTCAAGAACATTCTGACTGATTTTTTTCTGAGTCAGAGTATAAACAACCTAGTTTTTCTATTGTAAAGGTAATTAAACTAATTAGTGTTATTAGGTTACTTATAACAAACTTTATACTATACAGCGATGTCTCGATTTTCGCTATACAGTCAAAACCGTTTATAAGACATCGTTTAAAACCTATCGGTTATTACAACCAGATTGTAGGTCCGTCCGTCCCTAGTAAACTATTCAGTAAAGAAACCGCTTATAACAACATCGGATACAGCGACATATCGCTTACAACGACGAAAGTTTATCGATATTCATCGGATATAACGACCAACCGCTTCTTGTCTCAGTAAAACAAAACAATACAAACGATTTTAAATTTTATTTATAAGCATTGAATGAATATTTAGGCATATTATTACCTACGCACTTTCTCCCAACGAACAGTTTCAGCCAAAAGATTTGAGGCTCTTAAGCTGTAACGATTTTGCAAAAATTTTGCCTTAAAAAGTTTGATACTGGTGATACTCATACCTTGAGGAGTATGAACGAAAATGAAAAAATATTTGAGACTGGGCTAAAAAAACAACTGACTGATTACTTTTGTACCTAATTATTTCGTAATAAATATTTTTGTTTCTTATTTGACTCCTTTACATATTATAATATTAACAAACCATATTATAACCCATACCTACCTATCTAGATCGATAACTATGTACATACATATGTACTGTACTTGTGTATATGACATTGCTTATAACGACTATCGGATATAACGTCGGCAACTATACGTCCCTTCAATGTCGTTATAACCGGTTTTGACTGTATTATATAATATGTCATATTATTAGATTTAGGCGTGTATTCACTATAAACTTACTGTAACTTCGTTGGTATGTTTTAGTTGGTGTATAAGTAATGAGTTTTATTTTTTTCTAATAAGGCCAAAGAAATGGAAACGTTACATAATAAAGCATTTGAGTCTTTTTCGAGAGGACTTTGAGTCTTTCTCCACGCCTTTATTAACCATGGCGTTACCATTTTTAACCCAACCATAGCAAAACTATAAATTGTCCAGTATTATACTACTTTGTACACATCAGTGTACAAAGTAGTATAATAATAGTGAACTATATAAATTTAATCTAATTCCGCTTAATCTCATCGGGTATACCATTTACCGGGTAAACGCGTCAAAACATAACGCACACATTGAAACACGCACACATGTATGCACAGCTGTTCAGGGTTTCAAAATTCAAAACCCAAACAGATGTACGTCATCATTTGTTATTTATTCAAGATCAAGCAATTTTACAGTTACTAACTCCAAAAGGTATTATTTGACCTGTTATGTTGGAATTGGAATCAAGTATCGTTTCGTAAGTTGAATATCGACAAGATGGAAACCAAAAGATTTATTTCATTTGTTTTGTTTATTAACTGGGACCGATTTACTGAACCAAAATAAATATTATTATCTAGTTTCTGGTTGAATATTTCAGGAAGAATCCAAGCTTAATACACACATGTAAGTGCGTGCTCCTATTTCACCATGCCTCCTGCTGATAGAGAACAAATCTTTGTTTTTAATTTATTTTATTATTATTAAGTACTTAAGATGTCATGTGGAACATGGTGTAATGGTTGCAGCTCCTTACAAACGTTGTGATTAAAAAGAGTTTATTGCCAGTTCTTCTCTTCCGTTCTACGCCCTTGATTTGAGAACTGGCAGTAAATCTAAAATTAGAAGCATTTAATGTATATTTCTTTTTTGACGTTCATAAGTGTACATTGACCTATATTATTTTGACCTTGACTTTGACATTTCTGGCAAGTAGTATTTTCTTTAAGTAATACTCAACAGTATACCTTCCTGTTACCTTTTTAAGAAATATAGCCTATGCCGGGAATGAAATTCATGACCAGGGATGGGTATGAGTATTATTTAATGTTTTCGTTCGTTCTACGCCCTTTTGTGAGCAGTAAATGTAAATTTACCTCTTTAACGAGGTCTATAAAACGCTGAAAGTGGGCGATACGCTCCGGAGGGAGTCAATCTTTGAGGAGAGAAACCCGGAGCCCCAAAAAGAATCTGGCAACAAATCATTCTTACAAAGGCGGAGCAAACTGGAACGACGTGAAGTAAAGTTAAAGAGCTGCCTGACACCAATAAGGCTGGATACCTTCTGCCCCATCTGGGGCTCTTAAGTTAAATGAAATGTAAAATTTAGTAGCATAATCGGTTTTACTTCCTTCCGTCTTCCCTGTCTTCGGCAAGCATGCGCCTGGGTGATGGTAATGCCTGTAAGGGCCTTTACTTGATCGGTCCAGCGTCCAGCAGTAGGGGATCTGCCTCGAGATCTGGTGCTCTAAACTCTGCCAGTAACGCTAAGTTTATCTAAACTTTCTAGATCTCTGCGTGTTACATGTCGAAAGACGATTTTTGTACCCTAAATAAATATACATTATACACACACGAATAATATTTTTTTAATTTTATCCAACTCCAACAGTCATATAGAGATCAAACTGATAACCTCCCTAAGGATATACTATATACTTCCAAAATACATTTGTCCTTGGCACTTCGGATAGTACATATCCACTATATGTTGATAAAATGGCATTAATGGTTGCAGGTCACGCTATTCAGACGTCATAGTACATATAATCAAATTAGCTAGACGTACAGAACGACCCCTAGCTCCAAGGTCAATGGTATTACAAATCTACTAAGTGCTGGATTATACTGGTTTTTCTTTTTTATAATGGATCAGTAGTTAAGCTACGACATAATGCCTTCTTATAACTTTAAGGGCCGGCAACGCATTGCAGATGAACATGGGTGGTTTACCTGCTTCTTTGCCCAATTTGTATAGATTTATCTATTTATCCCCGCACAAATTGAAGATATCTATACTGGGTGTGCAAATTTTTTGTTACCTTGAACCTTTCGGAATATACTTATTTATAAATTTTAAAGAGGATATTAAAGAACATATAACTGGATGGAGACGTGCATTTAATAATGAAGTAGTCATATAAGATAGTATGTATATAGTAAATAAATATATAGTAGTAATATATTTATTTTGTTTATGAGAATTAAGTTATTTAAACATTGTTTCTGCCTGTTATTCTAATATTAGGTGGGCTGATAAGTTCGAAAAACCTTTTTTTGGCAGAATTTGATTTGATAATTCAATATTGTCTTCGAGAGCGAAACAACGATTAATGCGGTCATACATTTTTATAGTACGATTTGTCTTTAACCTCAAAATAGGCTTCAGTTTCGGCGATTACCTCTTCATCAGGGCAAAATTTCTGTCCAGCGAGCAGTCGAAATCTAGGAACAGGAAAAAGTCACTGGACTTTCCAAATCTGGAGAATGTGGCTGTGGAAGCAATTCGAAGCCCAATTAATGGGATAGTTTTCATTGATTTGTGACACATTGTCTTGATGAAAAAGCACCTTCATCTTCTTCAAGTGGGGCAGTTTTTCCGTGATTTTGTCCTTCAAAACAATTACACTTTCCTTTGCGAACTAGCGAATTGTGGAATCGACTCCCGGGGGTATAACCCGAGAGATATCTCCAATAGTTTAAAGGAAGAGTATACTCCTCCAAAAAGGCCGGCAACGCACCCGCTAAAATGGGTATCCATGGGCTGCGATGACTGCTCCTTTTACGCCCCCTTATACTATAAAAACCTACGTTATAGTCAAGTTAAAGTCAAAACTCATTTATTCATATAGGCAACACAATGCACACTTATGAACGTCAAAAAAGAAATACATTAAATGCTTCTAATTTTACATTTGCTGCCAGTTCTCAAATCAGGGGCGTAGAACGGAAGAGAAGAACTGGCAATAAACTCTCCGTCACTCTTTTTAATTGCCATGTTTTTTGTTTTACACAACGTTTGTAAGGAGCTGCAACCATTACACCATGTTCCCACATGACGACTAATCGTCTAATAATATAGTCGCTGTTATACGAATAATTCTCAAAGTTCTGGGTATCGTATTGATTTTCCCAGAATTATATGGCTGCATTGGTGACGGTAAACAATAATATTTCGTTCAATAAACTATATTTCTTTTCATGAGTCATGGCTGGACGAAGGCTTTCCGAGAATTTACCGCTCGTAACGAGAAGTGACGTCAGTCGCATTACGTAATTGTATATACATATATCTAGATGAATGTTTACACATAAAATCGTGTGTATTGTGTTATTAAACGTTAAGGTATAATGTGAAAAACGTGTTGATTTGGTTAGAATCTATTTTACATTAACATGACCGAGGGATCGCAAATGCGTGACGGCCTTTTAAGAATTGGTACACTCTTTTCGTCAAGGACCCTAAGTCGAAGTGGTTTGGATATACACCAGTAAGAGAGTTGTAGTGGCTTCAGAGTGCGACTCATCCCTGAGGTCGTAGGTTCGATCCCCAACTGTACACCGATGGACTTTCTTTCTATGTGCGCATTTAAAAATCGCTCGAACTAAATTCTACTTCTGCTACTCTAAATTCAGACACGAGACATCGCTGTCTCGTTTTAAATCGTTGCCATTGTCAACAAGGTCAATTAAGTGCGCAACATACTTTTCCTATTAAAATTTAATAAAAATCAATCAAGGGTAATCAATTACAGATTTCAGACCTTCATGAGATTCCAAACTCGTGAGCGTAATACCTGGAATACAGATTGACGCGATTTATTACTACAGTTTTGTAAAATATAGTATTTAATAAATCAATAACCATTCATAACAAATGAAAGTAAAATTCATTCATTACACAATTATCTGTGTGCGTTTATTGATGTGTGTTTAGTACGTATAACATATAAATTGTATTGTGCGTGTGTGCTTACCATTAAGCTATGGAATTTTGTACTTTAGCTCTTTGAAATAAGGATTAGTTTACAGTTTACGTAAAGATACATCCGAGATAGAACTAGATAATTCAGTGGAAATTTTCAGTTTGCATTTTGTTGGAATAGATTAAAATACTGCGCAGTTAAAGGTACTTGTGTCAAACTGATAACACGGCTTGATATAATAAAATAATAATACACTACCGAGAGCAATAAGAACTTTACGTTAAACAATATAAATTATAATTTTTTTACCTTAAGATGATTTGTATAGATTTTATTGAAAAATTTAATAAACTTAAATAACCAAAAAGCCTATTTAAGGAGTAAAAAAAGCAAACGTATTGTCAGGTGTGGGGTTCGAACCCACGCTCCCTCTCGGGAACCAGAGCTTAAATCTGGCGCCTTAGACCACTCGGCCAACCTGACACGGTAAATGAGTCGAAATAATGGAATTGTAGATGTATATTAACGAGAAATGCCGGAAATTCGATTTGCAATTGTTGTTGAAAAAACTCTCCAAGGCACATTTTACGTTGCAATTTTGCTAATAATAAATTACTTAAATGCAAACAACTTTTTATATCAATCAAATTTTAATAAAATGCTGATACCAATTTAAAGCTAATCTTCTTGTCAAAACTGTCAATGTTTATTAAGTTTTGTTACACAGACTCAACCAAAAATATAAGACATCCTTCTTTTGTTTTACACTCACTTCTAAACGCTTTAATTTAATTAAAATGATTGAATCATTATTAATAAAATGTAAATTATATATTTTATTGGTTTCGCGCCCGCTTTGCTGGACGAATTAAAATAAATTTTAGTTTCACTATTTTATTTTTTCATACATTTATGATTCTTACTTTTTAACTTCCGCAAGAAAATTATTATTTCGAAAATCGAGTTTTTAACAGACGTTGACGTTTACAGGGTCTAGGAAGCCTCCCGAATGTTAGAAGTGACGTCCGTATCTAATTTCGAAGAACGCAATAAATAAGGACTTGGAAACTTAATAAATAATAGCCTAAACCATCAGACTCCGCATAAGGGGTACTTTCATTATACGATCAGTGGTAGGTGAAGGACCTCACACAACGACCATCTTTTATATATATGATAATTAGGCTAACCAAACATCTGTTTTCCTGAGTAATTTTAATACTCTTTTAGGTCAAGCCAGTTTCGGAACAGACTATTTTCCATAATGGTACACATATGCGTAATTTTTAGTATTTATTTTGTAACATATTACACACTCTTATTCAAGCTATAACATTAGTGATTTAATGAAATTGTGAGTTTTTAAATGTATGTTTACTAACCTATGTCAAAAGCTAGCTCTAAAATATATGTACAATTAAACGTGTGGCACTGACTGCGTAAAAGCATAATTTTTTCAAACAATTATGATATGACCCAATAATTATTTATGCATTGTTTTTTTAATATGAATCAGCTTTCCTGTATATTAGCTTCAAGCTATGGATAAAGTTCTGTCTATTCGATTACCCACTTTAAAGGACAGATTAATTCAAACTTTGTCACACTTATAAGAATCACGAACAGTAAACCTAATTTAGGTTTATCTCGGAAAGACGATGAATTTTTTTAAGTCCAAAAATTCTTCAGATTTTGACACACGTATTGTGAATAAGGACCACAAGTTAAATAAACATAGAGAACAGGTTAAACACATTACTTTATTATGACAATTTAATTCAATTTGGTGAAAATAAGAACGTAACAAAAACTGGCTATAGAGGTGGGTGCTCGACGAAAAATGGCACAGTACATTGTTTAAATTTCTTAGTATGTCACTGTATTTATTTCTTTCATGAATTAATCTACCTACCACTCTACCAGACTGTCGAACTGGCCTATGATTATTGAATACTTTCGATGCGCACCGGCTTCTCGTCAGAGAGATGGATACGCAGTATGCGTTCTGTCCCTCTCAAACGTTCTTTTCATTACGGAAGTTCTGATTCGGTCTCCACTAGTGGCGCAGAAGCTATGCAAAGCATCCGGCGTAGTAAAAGCCTGTATTGGTCCTGGGCAGCTGCTTTAATTCAGTCCACGTGATTCAAGCTTCCAAATCGCACCGCTTTAATAATGCTTTGTTAAATTGCTCAGGTCACTGAACATTTAGCTGGAGAAAACGGTTTCTTTATTCGCTTGAGGAATTTCAATAGAGGTGCCTGACTGGACTCATTGGTTGCTTTTTGAAGACGGAATTTGAAAAATTCAATAGGTCCGTGAAGTCCTGAACTAATGATGCAAGGCGTCGATTGAATGATTTTCGAATTGTTTCAATGCGTTGCCAATGGGTCAGAAGCTTATATTCTTTCGTAGTTAAATTCCTATGTCCCCCAAGTGGGCAGAGTGCATCCAGCGTAAAAAACAAGTCATGGTCCTCTTCACGTCATTCCAGCTTCCTCCGGATCTGCAACGTGCTAGTTTCCAGGTCTGTTTTAGGCTTCCTTTTGCAGGGTACCAGTCGAGGGCTTGCTTGGCAATCTGATTGCTATCCGGAGCGTATGGCCCACCCATTTCCACTTTCGGAGTTTTATAGAACTGTCAATTGGCACCTTATTGCATAGCTCCCATAGCAGATGGTTAGAGAGTCTTGGAGTATACCCAAAAGAATGTCTCTAACCATACTTTCTTAAGGATCGTTTTATTAAAGTTACTTAGTTTGGCTCTGTACATCGAGAGCAAACAACGTTTATGGCGAGATATCGTGAGGTATTTGCTACCGTGGCTAATAAATGTACTCCGTCAGTTATTAGATAGACTAATGTTACCCAATATAATAAGTAAGCTGAAAAACTACTTTGACATGCATTGGTCGCGTTCCTAAACAAGACAGCTATGGTTACATTTATATAAACCATAGAGCTTTTCTAATATGTTATATGATTGTATTATATTATTCTGTAAAATAAATAAATTAAAAAAAAATATATGTAATTGCTTTGCTTTTAATTTGATAAAGGTAATGTGTGAATATAGTGACAAGGTGACTCAAAAATGGATTGCTACTTCTATTATTTGAAACCATAGACAAAATGCAGTGACCATGACGCTTGTGTACAATAGCGGTCACGCTATTTTAACAAATTAGTACTTTTTGGCTTTTATGTACAATATGATAGTAAAGTATTATTAATGAACTTCCCAACGACTATAGCCGATTGAAATTTTTATTTTACATTAAAAAAAATCTTTATTCATTTTAACAATGCATTACAATTTGTAAATTTGGGCACCCTTTAATGTAAAAAAATACCTTTACAACCTGTGTAAGCTCTTCAATATTAAACTTAATAGTTAATTCCGTAACAATTGTTTTTAACTATTTACAACAACTTCCAATTTTTTTAACAAAAAGCATTACGCGAGTGAGTGTAATGTGTTATTATAATACATAATATGTCTCAGGAGCATCTCCAACTAATCGTAATGTGTGTTCAGAATCGAGTTCTTTAACCGTTCTTTTTTTTAAATTGGGGAATTAAAAAATGTTATTAATTGCTTAGCCATTTTATAAAAAAAATATACTTGGCCTTAATATAATTGATACCAACTTTTCTCGTCAGCGTGATATAAATACTTTGGGTAATACTACTTATTTTGAAGATAAGGAACTTCCTTACAATGTTTCATCCCATACTTCTACCCTTTTCGCGATAAAAGATAACTTTTGGCTTGAACTTTATCGCAATAAAATCCGTGTTACAGGCGTGAAAGCTTAACAGACAGACAAATATGTTGTTAAGGTTTTAATTTTCAGAAAACTCTTACAACCAATTTTCATTAACTACGCCTCTTCAAGCAATTACAGCAAATTGTTTAATTGCTTGAATAGACAATCTAATTGCATAGTACTTTGTCTATTAGATAAATTAATACATACTTTAAAGAAACGCTTTTCAATTAAATCAATCTCAAACTATATTATTTATATTTTAAAATAATAATTGAAGACAAATTCTGAAAACGACAAACGAATTTTTCAATAAAAATCGTAAATATTGGAAAAATTAAAACAAAAAAAATTACAGTGACTCTACAACCTTTTTTAGGTCTGGGCGTCAGATTTCTGAGGACACAGATACAGAATCAATCTAACAGGCGAGTAGATGATCAGCCTCCTGTGCCTTATTCCCGCCGTCGACTTTTAGGGTCTAAGGCAAGGCGGTTTCGATGTTTTCCTTCATTGTTTCTAGCAAAATACGCAGATAGAGTCTATTGGTCAGCTAGGACTCGAACCTACGACCTCAAGGATAAGAGTCGCATGATGAAGCCACTAGTCCAACACTGTTCGAAATAAAACTAAGGATTCAAAATTAAGCTACGAAACCTATTCATTGCTTGCTTTATCATCAAATAATATGTTCTACAATCTGTAAGGTTCACATTATTTAAGTTCCTAGTAACCCTTCTAATGTAATGCAAATTTCTAAATAACAAAACTTAATTTATCATAGCACAGCCCATCCACAATCACCCTCCATCAACATAACAAAAACTGCAATGTTAAAATAACAGTTTATTAAATAAACATCTTAAAAACTATAATTGGTACCAACAACCCAGCTGTATTCATTGCAGCGGAGTTACAGTCATCTGTGAAGCATTGGCAGACGGTTTCCAGGTGATCTTCGTTGTCTGCCTTATAACAATCGCGATGGTGCTTCACCCAGCCACATCCACGCGTCACTCTCACTTCAGTGTCGTGGCCTTTGTGGAGAACTGAAATAAAGGATATAATTTAGATTACTGTGGCGGAGAACTGTGCATGTTCTTCTCATCCGTTTAGAACTGGCAGTATACTTAGAGTGAGAATCAAAAACAAAACTTAGCTTAGAGACTCCCGTATATCTAATACATTTTTGACGTACGTATACATAGAGGCGTTAAATTATTAAAGTGAAACTTTTTTGTCTAAGAAAAGGTAGAGAGCGATTGAGACCGACTGAGAGAGAGTGAGAAAGGGCGAACGTAGCATGAAGCAAATAGCCAAGGAGATTAGGGAGCAAGCAAGTGAGTAAGATCGAAAGAGAGTGAGATAGAGCGAACGTCGCATCACGCACAGTGCCATGGAGCGAGATGTGGGAGAGAGCTATAGTGAGAAAGATTGAGAGAGAGTAAGGGAGATCGAGAAAAAATACACGCTTTTGGTAGATGTATTCGTTACATATAAAAACTTTAGATGAAAATTCTGTCGCATAACGTCTTGTGCAGTAAACGCAGATTTTTTATTTATTTATATTATCATTAGCACGTATACAGTGAGTAAACAGTGTGATTATAGATAAACAAATACATGTAGTGATTATATACTGGTACATGATCATCTATTGGGGCTTTTACCTTAGTAACAATTAATTTACAAAGAAGTTTCACTTCTGACATGTGTACTTTGTACGCACGCACTTTTTATTTTAAAGTTTAAATTTCAGTTATAATATAGTGCCCTTGAGAATACACAGTTAAGTAATGCATAAGACAAAGCGATTACATTTCGTTTGTTTAAGATTACTCAAACGCAAGGATCGTACCGTACCGCGTATAGATGTCTAGCTTGACGCGGGGACTGTGGGGCTAGGTCCACACTCAAAGCCCCTTTGCTATTCAGAGGGGTACCGAGACCCTACCCATTAAAAATACCTCTGCCCACCACACGTCCTGAAGATGGGGGTTCGCCAAGGCATTCAATACAAGCACCACAGGTTACAGTAGGTTAGGTATTAGCTACTTCTAAACATGTTTTTTTTAAGCTTGTCAATTCAAAAACCTATATCTTCATTTTATATTTCTTTTTATTTAACTAAAAAATAAATCAGTGGCGCTACAACCTTTTTAGGTCTGGGCCTCAGATTAATGTATCTGTTTCATGATCATGTGTCAATCTAATATGCAATTTCGTAAGCCTCCTGTGCCTGATATACGCCGTCGACTGTTTGGGTCCAAGGCAAGCCGGTTTCCGCACGTTTTCCTTTACCGTTCGAATGTTAAATGCGCACATAAAAAGTCTATTGGTGCACAGCCAGGGATCGAACCTACAACCAGGGATGAGAGTCGCACGCTGAAGCCACTGGGCCAACACTGCTCATTGTTTTTCTGTGTGTCTATGTAACTTACTAGTCTGAATAATCTTCCTGCAGAACATCTGCTCCTTGGTTTGGCCTCGAGGCACTTTCTGCTCACAGTTGGTGATCTTTAAATATCGCTGCACACTCTCCTTGTCGTATATATTTGGTTCCAAGCACATTGAATTATTTGCACTGTTGCACTCATAACAGCTGATTGCAGAACCTGGGGTCAAATTAATATTGCTTTTAGGAAAAACATTCATAAAAAAAGCGTAAACAGAAAAGAATAAATCAATCAATGGAAAAGTTGGTGTCTACAAATTGTATGAAATAAAATAAGTAATTATTTTAATTCGATTCTAGGTATAAGATATTATTTTATTTTATCGTGAAACCTTTTTTTAAATTAATGATCTTAGTAAAATTAAATTATTAATATATAAATAGCACTGTCAAAGGGATAGGAGCAAATAAAACGTCTTAATTCGTCGTTTCTTTAAATTGCACAAGTCCCATGGCTCTTAATATTTTTCAAATTTATCCAAGATAGAGTCTAATACAATTGACAACAGAATTTACACGAAAAATAATAAACGGCTCAAATATCTTGTCTTTCCTCCAACTTCGATTATGTAAACTATTGGGCCGTGGGGTTCAAGTGCACAGGCGCTAATTAAATATTTAAGTTGGCGCCTGGTAGATAGTACCAGTGACCCAGACCTGGTGCTTTCCTCGCTCAACGATTAAGTATAGCAATACAGCGAGGAAATGCTGCCAGCGTTAAAGGTACACTGCCACAGAGACCAAACTTTTTAAATTTGTTAATTATTATGATAAATTTTTAATTATTTTAATTATTTTGTATAATATACAAAAAAAATATTATAAAATTCAGACATAAGGAATAATGAGTTAGTGTGATAAAACTAAATAAGATTCTTTAATTCTAGATTTTGTAATATATTATAATATGCCAAATTTAAAAAAAAAATCATTCATTATGAACAACATTTACACGTTTTTTTAAAGGTTTAAATATATGTAAATACGCATGTATTTAAAAAAATAATTATACTTAATTTAATATATTAAATAAGATTAAATAAATGAAACGACTGCAAGCGCAAAACTTACCAAAGTCGAAAGACGCAAACAGAATAGTCACACATAAAAAATTTAAAAACATTTTGAATTCGCACGATTTTCGACCAGACCTATGGTCATTGACCAACAGACTGCGCACACGCAGGCTTCAATAAAGCCATTAGTCGACAATAAACATCCTTATTCTGTAAAGCTTAACAATAAAAGTCGGTCACGCCAAGTTATCACGACAACATAAGCTAAACTTTTCAATGCTATATCGCGGTAAAAAAAATGTTGAAAATGCACCTTCGATAAAAATACACGACTCGTTGTAATTATTAATTACGCCTGGTAATTTAAACATAAAATTTGTTTTATACACGTGTTTAGTAACTTTAATAAATAAGGCTAACTAAATAACGACTCTTCATTCTAGATGCACAACCGCAATGCGAACATTCACTTGTCAAAAACGTTGACATTGACACATTTATTATCTGTTGAATATTAAAATAGATTTGTATAAAAGAATATTAATCTTCTCCGAAACCATAAACTATTCAACAGCACAGATCATGTTCGGTTAGTTATAAAGATCAAAACTTCCCAAGAAATAAGATTCTTGATAGGTTTCCTGTGAGATAAAAGCGATGTTTGTTTACATTTTAGCGATAATCTTTGGCATTTAACCTTTGTGTAACATGTTTGTCTCAGTGGCCCGTCAGATGATTGGTTTCCTTACACGTAGGTTCGATTCTGAATTTTTTTTCTTTTAGAGTTCTGACCTTTTCAGCGTTATATTCTATATCCCATCCTCTTTTTTGGTAATAACAGATTAATGATATTAAAAAACACGGTACTTTTCAGAACTAATAAACTAAATGATAAGAACTTTAATATATATTATAATAGTGTTAAAAGAGAAAATGCACTAGCCTCCACTAGGCCTTTGTCTTGTTAGTGTATGAAGTTTTGAATCGATATTTCAAATTGTTTTTAAGAAAGTGGTAAAGAAATAACAGTGTTGGCCTAGTGGCTTCAGTGACTCGCATCCATGAGGTCATAAGTTCGATCCGGTACCAATGGACTTTTGTGTCATTGTGCGTATTTAACATTCGCTTAAGCGGTAAAGAAAAAGTCGACGGCGTGTGTCAGGTACAGGCTGATATACTTGCCTATTAGATTGACAAATGATCGTGAAACAGATACAAAAATCTGAGGCCCAGACCTAAAAGATGAAAAGAAATAAGAATAAGGATTTAGCTAGATTATTTAATTACAGACATGCCTTTACCAATTAATCTTAAATGAAATAAACACGCATCTCTCAACTTTGAAGTACCGAAATATGATCAATTGAACCTACAATTAGTATAATAATACTTCACGTTTTTATAGTAATGATGAAACTTATGTACAGAACATAGCTTTGATAATTAGTGAGTGACAAGCTTATAATTTCCAACCTTATTTATTTGACAAAAGATTAAAGCCTTCTAAAAGGACTATTTATCATCTATTTATTCTGTAATCCACATAAAATGCATTTCAATAATAGTCCGGTCAATTTAGACATTCAAAGCTGCATAAAATCCCAACAAGCTGAAAATTAGTAAAATTGTTCAAAACATATGACATCATGACCGTGTATGGATTTTTTTATTCAAGATCAAAGGTCAAAAAATGAGTTTAATGTAAGTTTTATTATAAAAGTATCTTAGACAAAATTGTTGATCATAAAACAATCAAACCCTGTGGGGTGCGGACCCCACGTTGGGAAACACTGCTTTAGAGTCAAGAAGTCGACGGCGTGACAGGCACTGAAGGCTGATCATCTCTGCTATTAGGAAAAATATATTATCACGAAACAGATACAGAAATCTTAGGCCTAAATGGTTGTAACAGCACTATTTAATATAGCAAATAAAATATGTTATATGTTAAATGTGGAACATACGAAATTGTTGCTTCTACTTGTCATTTATGAGAAGGAAAAGGATCTTGTGACCGTCAGTCTCCTTAAATTCTTGAGAACGTCCGTTTCCAATAAAATAATTTATCTAACAACGGCTCATCTTACCGTCTGGTCAGGTCACTGACTTGGCTAATACGTGCAAATCTCTGAACGATACTCAATGGGACATGGGGGAGCCACTTAGCAGGACCCATTATTACTTTAATTTATTTTGTAATGGCGTATGTATTCACTATAAGTAAGCAAACTAGCTGCTGTGATCTCTGGCAGAATTACCTGCCCTGAGGAACAGTCTGCTCCTCAGCATAATGCTGAGCCAGCGCCAATTACAACCACAGCACACACGCGTTACACACTTAAAATAAACCTTGTGCTTTAAGGGAAAAGGGAAAAAATATTGTTATTTGTCATTATATTTTTTTTTTCTTTGATTATTGTTATTTATGCTATGTGTGTGTGTTTTTGTTAGTAATAAATGTTGTGTATATGTCTATGTCCTAGTATATGCAAATGAACAATAGTAATGGTTCGTCTAGTATTACTTTTAATAGTAGATACGTGACTTTAAAAGTATATAGTTTCCCGAGGCATGCACTATAACAGAAGTGAAAATGGGCAGGGCATAGCAAGATGCACAGATAAAAGGTAGACCATAAAGACTATATGGAAAGGACCAAGGGGAAGAAGGAGAAGAGGGCGCCCTTAAGTCGTGGATAGAAGATATAGAAGCAGGATGCGAATGGAGAAAGAAAGCCATGAAGGGGTTCCGATCGACGGTACTGAAGGAAGCTAGAATATAGAATAACAAGCAAAAGAAAAATAAATTATGTATATAAATGTAAAATAATCTAAGCTGTGTATTATATTTTGTTTTTGTCATGATTGCAAATAAAACGGGCTTTATTATTATCCGGAAACAAAAACTTATCATCTGATCATCTTACTAAATCGATGAAAACATACTTGACTATTATGGACTCAGCCGTCAGCACCGACTTCCGAAAATTAGTTAGGCTATTTTTCTTTATATACATCTTTTATCTTCATATAGTATACGAATGGAATCATTACCGTTTAATACAATTAATTATCTTGACCAATCAAAGAAACAAACAATATTATCATTTAAGACTCTTTAGCGGATTTTTAAGTCGGTTATTTTATTTTTAAAGGAATTTTACAATACTATAAGGGGTTTGAGGAAAATGCGTAACATTCGGTGTGTGATTATGAACACAAAATAACAATTGACGACTACTAGTCATTATGAGCAGATACCATAAATATATTAATAATGTTCCAACAAACTGCAAACGCAACGCTTATTGTTGTTAGTAAGTTATTTAAATTTGTAATAAATTATATATCCGAAAAATAGTTAAAAATAGTTTAAATAGTTGTTTTACATTAACAGTGGAAGAAGAAGATATATGGCGCTTATATTAAAACTGTTTAATACTTACATGTTTCAATAAAATACAAAATAATAACACTAATAAGTAATCCATTCAGTCTTAAAAATGCCTTCAACCCCATAGCGCCTTATCAAATTATAACACACTAAGTTCTGTTAAACAATTGCTCAAACTTTGAAGCAGGCGCAAAATATTCCTAAATTTAATTATTCTGTGATTCAATTTATGAGTCGTCTAGCCAACTACAGGTGGCACACTGTTAGTCTATGTGATATACCATGAGTATATAACTCCAGCAGGTACAATAGAAAACTAGAATTTTTCGGTTTCAGAGCTATGGAAAGAGGACGTGCGGAGGACACTAATAAAGGAATTGAATTTATCTAGATGTTTAGTGTATCTTGATATGAACTTCCTGTTGTTGCCCTTGCTATTGTGTAAGCTAATCTGTGACATGGAAGGCTTTTAATTACTAATGTTATGTAATACAGAAGATATCAGATCCCAAATTTTTAATAAGAACATAAATTTACAATTAACGAGTTTGAAAAGATATTGTTATTACCTAACATATTTTTACACACAAACCTTCTACCACCCATTCGATGTATTACTGCAAGTATTATGATTGATAGTATCATTAAGGAAGATGTATTGTAATCGTCACAGCGCCAACAGTGTTCTGGACTCTTATGTGGGATGTGAGACGAACCATAGTCTGACTTTTGTTGAAAAAAAAAATGCATGTGTCTTCCAAAAACCCTTGATATTCATAATTTTACGTCTCGATAAATTATACACAATTTGCCACAGAAGGCATAACGTATGCAGCTCTACAAGGCTCAACCAGACCTCATATGAAATACTGCTCTCATCTCTGGGCTGGTACTTCCAACTAACGACACCAACAATGTTCGACCAAATTCAGCGAAGGGCTTATCGAATTGTCAATCTCCAACGTATTACTGATCGGCTTGATTCTTCCTCTACGCAGAGACATTGCGTCTCTTTGCGTTGTCTACAAAGTGTACTATGGTGAGTGTTCTGAAGATTTGTTTGGGTTGATAGCACCTGAATCCTGCCTCGTTTTAACACCGTACGCACCGTATCAATGCAACATTTCATCAACATCACCTTGATGGCTGGTAGTCTTCCACAGTCCGTTTAACATGGCACTTTCTTTTGCGAACTAGCGAATTGTGGAATCGATGGGGGTCTTCCTAAGTGATACGACCTCCAACTATTCAAAGTAAGAGTGAGATTGTACTCCTCCCTTAAAGGCCGGCAACGCACCCACTAAAAATAGGTGTCCATGGACTCCGATGACTGTCCTTTATGGGCTCGTTTGCACCTATTATCTATATCTATATAAAAAAAGATATTTGTATTAATCTATATATTAATTTTACAAACGTATTGATTCAAAGGAGAATTTTGTAATTGATTTCTCGTAGACTGTGTGTTAATAGTGTAAATAGTAAATTTAAACCTGGGAAAAGTAACAGTATATTCTTGGATCACGCAATCAGCTTTGCGAAGGCAATTTCAACCTTCACACTAGTTAACTCCAAGATTTATATATTACTTGACTAGTTACCTAAACGGTTAATTTGTTACATAATAAACATATTTTCGTTCAAATTTGTGTGGTTTTAATAATTTTAAATTAGCTACGGGTAAACTCAATTCCCATACTTGTTCACAGGGGTAGTGACATTGAAAAGGTTAGGAATCACTGAATTAGATTTACAACCTGGAATTACTCCCTCTGCAATTTATTGTACCTATGAATTTTCTGGATCAGAAATAAGACTAGCCAAGAACGATTTGAGGATAGGATTATAAAAACTTTCTATGTCCTCAAGAGAAAAGACGCCTAAAAGTAATACTATATATTAGCTCGATAGTTACGGTATGTTTATCAAAAAGTAATATGCGTTAAGACTATTATGTCAGTTTATGATTGAACCTTTTGTTCTAGGATTCGTTAATTTTGGAAATTTGTTGTTTTCATCATGTTTGTTTAGTTTATCTTACCAGTATTTAAGTTTTTTTATTTTTTGAGTGGCACAAATGCAAGATTTTTACCGTTACATTCATTTAAACCCTTTTCAGGTCGCATTCAAGATTTGCGCTTTGACATAGAATACCAAGATAATAGATTTATTTTATTAAGGTAGCGCTTTGTGGGCGAATTTAGAACTAAAAGAAAGCATGAACATTACGATCACCGTGCTTTACTGGGTAACAAATTCATACTAGGGAGTCCAAGTCGCCACAAAATTTCTGTAAAGTGCATGTGTTCTGTTATAGAGATGTAGAGTGTATTGTATTTCGTGTGACAACCCTAGCACAAGTATCTGAATGTAGCGCGGAAATGTGCACTTGACACAAGATCACAGATAATACAGGAAACCACCGCCCCTCCCTCGTCCATCCTGCCAGCATTACAGGCCTACCTGATTACCTGCAGGTACTATACAGTGTGAAGTAAAACATGAATCGTACAATGTATTACTGCCTTGAAAGTGGACCAAACCATGGTAAAATAGCATGCAAAGGTTGGCTGCTGGGGCTAAGATACTAAATGAGGTTGCATATTTTACGAATTGCTTTGTAAAGTTTAAATATTGTTGTCTTTATTGACATGTTTTACATTTACAAAATTGGATTTTTTAGCCTAAATAAGGGTTTTAACGCTTTACGCGTTGATTAATTAACACATTATCTCTTTAAAATTATTTAAATTTAACTTTCATCTTAAATTGTATCGTACCGAAAATATTAATGATTTTTATTTATCATAGTAATATTGGGATTAACACCACAATTACAAGGAACTATTTAAATTGGGGTCTCTGTTAATATTGACACTTTTTATATTTTGGATAATTTTTAAAATCCTTTAAATATCTACTGAGGGGCCTAAGCAGTGGTCTTATTAAGTGGCAGCTAGGTGAGGGGTACCGGGGTTCGTTCTTCTTCGAGGAAAAGTTTTAATTTAATTTAAATTTGTCCTCGGCCTTTGGGGGGGGGTGGTGTGCGGTACCGAGGCGAGTGCTTAAACCGTACATGGGGAGCGGTCAGGACACGGTCTAAAAAAGACAAGCACGAATTATAAAAATCCTATACTTGACGCTGGCTAATGCACAAATCGTGCCAGAGCCATTTAAAAAAAATTACTGTATAAATATTATCTGTCTACACTCTACATAGTATCTGCTTTCATGTGAAACTGATCTAAAATTTTTGTCCATCTTTTTTTTTCCATGTGACTTTTTTTTAATATTATCCTGTTTGTTTACATGTTTTAATTTCTTTGTTTTGTTCAATTAGCTTGTCTAAAAACTATATCTCTTATGTATTTTTGCACTTGCTTATCTAATTGCATTTTTTTTTTCACACATGAGGCTGCCAGTTTCCCCTTCTTTTGATTTATGTCAACTTGTATTATATCTCTGTATATGCAACGAAGTGTTAATACATAAATAATTAATTTACTTTAATTTATAGTGCATACAATGCGTCAAAGATAAATTGAACATCATTTAATTAATCGGTCAATAACATATGGGTGAGGCTACACGAATGTTTATACATCAAGCACGCCTCCCATCACAATATTAGTTTAAAGTTCTACGTTCTTTTACCACTCTTTTATTAATATTTTAATAACAGAAAAATTCATTGATAACAAAGTATAAAAAATAAATAAATCAGTGGCGCTACAACCTTTTTAGGTCCGGCCCTCAGAATTCTGTATCTGTTTCATGATCATTTGCCAATCTAATTCTTTTTTTATGTAACGGGCAAAAGGGCAGGAGGCTCACCTGATATTAAGTGATACGATACACTCACATTGCCAGGAGGCTTGCAAGTGCGTTGCCGGCCTTTTAAGAAATGGTATGCTCTTTTCTTGAAGGATCCTAAGTCGAATTGGTTCGCAAATACTTCAGTGGGCAGCCGGTTCCACATAGTGGTGGTGCGCAGCAAAAATAGCCTTAAGAAATGCTCAGTTGTCAACGAACGACGGATGTCGAGTTGATACGGACGGTATGTTGTATTCTGTCTTGACGTCCGACGATAAAACTCAGCTGCAGGTATTAGTCCGAACAACGTCCTCCATGGTACCGCAGTACAAGAGAGAGTGATCGCATATCTCTACGCAAGTCCATGGAATCAAAGTTCCTCACGATTTTTTCCTTCACCGTTCCAGCGAGTGTGCGTTTAGCACTTAGAAAATCCATTGGTGCACAGCAAGGGATCAAACCTACAAACTCAGGGATAAGAGTAACACGCTGAAGCCACCAGGCCAACACAAAATAAGTTATAACAAAAAGCAGTTTGTTTGATTATTGTTAACTTTATTTGTTGACTGTCATTAAAAATGTATTACTAACTATTGTGCTCAGATGTACACATAGTAATTAAACAATTATTCCATAAACCATTGGAATAATTGTTTGGTTCCAATTAAAAACCCAGTTGTTATTGCATCTCAAAAATAAAAGAAGTATTAGTAATGTTTTAATGTAATCGTTCTATTGGTTGATAATTTCAGATTAAATCTAGCTAAAAAATCAATGGCGCCACATTTTAGGTCTGGGCCTCAGATTTATGTATCTGTTTCAATTTCGCAATCTAATAGGCATGTAGGTGAGCAGCCTCCTGTGCCTAACACACGCCAAGACTTTTCGGGTCTAAGGCAAGCCGGTTTCCTCACGATGTTATCCTTCACCGTTCGAGCGAATGTGGATCGAACCTATAACCTCATGGGGTCTTAGAGCTATAAGGCTTTTAAAGGAAATAGCAAAGTTGCATAACAGAGACCGAAGATCTGGCACTACCTCGACAAGATTAGTCTACCTATTCAAGGGACCTGCAGTATCTTCGGAACCTTGCCTAAAGGGACTACTTTTAATATTTTTAGTTATTATATTTTAAGGTTAGTTAATGTTTTTATTGATCTTTTTTCGTGTTGTTCCTTATCATTGTGTTCATCAGAAAAGCACATTAGATTCCGGTTCCTAACTGACGTCACAATGACAATGACAATAATTGTCCCGTATCTCTAGGCTACGTTTTTAATCTTAGCCAACCATGATTCAGTTTGACCACGCTACGGAGGCGGTAACTGTAATCCTAGATGCTGGGCATTAGAACAGACACATGTGTATCTGTTTTGTGAAGCATCACATCAGTTGTGATTATTATTTAGTGGGTATGTCAACCGACGTTGTGGCTTATCTATTAACATAAATAAAAATAAAGGTTATTTAACGGATGTACACGATAATTTATATATAAAAATAATATACATATATATATAATATAAAAATAATATACATATTATTAATTATTAGGTATTTCAAAATATATTCTTAGTTTTCTATCCGACCACTGAAATAAACTTGAAGAATCCTTATGAAAAGAAACTCATAATAAACTGATGACGTAAAAAATCAAAATCATATATTCATATAGGTAACACAATGTACACTTATGAACGTCAAAAAAGAAATACATATTAATTGCTTCTAATTTTACATTTACTGTCAGTTCTCAAATCAAGGGCGTAGAACGGAAGAGAACTGGCAATAAACTCTCCATCACTCTTTTTAATCGCCGAGTTTTTGATTTTAAACAATGTTTGTAAGGAGCTGCAACCATTACACTATGTTCCACATGACATATTAAGTAATAAATAGTTAATTAATACTAATAAAATAAATTAAAAACAAAGATTTGTCCTCTATCAGCAGAAGGCATGGTGAAATAGGAGCACGCGCTTACATTCTCATGGGAACAACTCGCCAATACATAGACGAAATAACTAACATCACAAATTGCAATTAAAGCCGTGTTTTCTCCGGGACTCGATCGATGCCATCCAGTTACCTAAAAGCAGGAAGCATCACAAATGACACAATCCAACGGGAACTTTAAAAATAAAGTAATTTCCTCATGTCAATTGAATAAGTGTAGTAGATTTACTTGTATAGATAGAACTCGGGCGCTAGTTTCAGTATCGTATAGAAACACGGACCGTGCGGTCTTCAGCGGACACAACTGGTGAAATCCTGATTCAACTGACATGGGTGTAGCCGAGTGGTGTGTTTTTGTCGTCCTCTGTAGTATACTACAACAAGGTAGGTTGAGACAATGAATTTTATCGATATCTGAACGAAGTTCGAAGTTTTTACGAAACTTTTAAACAAAATTGATCGTATTTAGAGTTTTCAGTTATCTTTAATGGTCGATTAATTACTTCAAGTGGTGTTATGGTCTAACTGAAACCTTTTGCTTTTAGGATAAGGTCGGTTGGGGGATTTAGTTTCAGGCGATAATGGATTAAATGTTAACGTGTGATATTAACGCCAACCAATCGAAATAACTCTCTAATTATAAATTGTTATGTTATCATTATGTTTATATGTAGTATTGTAACTAAATATTAAAGTTTGTTTAATAATTTTTACATAATATTGGAACCAATCGCGTAAATACTAGATAATGCTTTTGTTCATTTGTATTTAAATAAGTGGTCCGATGTCCAAGATAAAAGTAGCAAAATTTTAACTGGTATTGAAAATGTACAACGGGGGTACAAATGGTAAGAATTCCACAGATAATGAACCCTTAAACTAACGCTTCTTAGAGACGACGAAGATAAAATGTAATACATATAAAATTCTTTCTAGCTATCATAATATTCAACATATAATCCACCAAAATTAAACACCATACAAAGGAATGGCAACCTTTTGCGACGTCTTTGTGAAATCCCTGAAAAGGTCCTGTTCTCTACATAGAATTATTTCAAAATTAAGATGATCTCTTCGTCAACAGCAAGGCTGATGCGTGTGTAGACTACACACGCATCGTGTGTAACTCAATGTCAAACTCAAAATAACTTTATTCATATAGGTAACCAAATACACTTATGAACGTCAACAGAAAAGATGTTAAATTGATTCTAAATTAACATTTACTACCAGTTCGCAAGCCAAGGGCGTAGAGTGGGCAAGAAGAACTGGCAAGAAACTCTCCGCCACTCTTTTTAATCGCCAAGTTTTGAGTCATACAAATTGTTTGAACTGGAGCAAATCAATCACAAGGATTAGGATCATTTAAATAATCGTCAAATTTATAACTAAATATTAATAAAAATAATAAACCTTTGAAATTTTTCCGACATAAATATATATAAATTATTTTATTAATATAGTGTCTACTGTATACTAAACTGTTACAGCGCAATTTTAAAGTAATATTGTATCAATCTTGTTTTACGGTCATAGTAACAGTATTGTGTTCGAGTGTATTTCACTTACGAGTCTTTTATTAAATAATATCTAACAGTAAATTAATAATAATGCATGTTAAAATCTGTGCAACTAAGCAACTAAATTATATGTGTGATTAGTTAAAGACTAATTTAAGTTGAGGCTTTAAATACATTTGAATGAATAATGGATGTGGCAGAGAAAGAATAAAATAATAATAATTGCCTTGGAAATGCGGACGTTAAGAAGAATGTATGAACATCGCGTAATGGGATAAGTAATAGTGAGATATGTGAGAAGTGTTATGAGGAAATAGTGACATGGATACAAAAGGGAATACTAGGAGGTCTGGAGGCCTCGGGGTAACAAAGGAGTGGAGGCCCCAAATTATTTTCCAAATAAAATGAACAATTTTTTTCAGTCGAGTTTTCAATCAATAATTTATTGTGAAAACAAGTAGATTCTTTCAATATTTAACAAACATATAATGATTTCTATTAATATTTAGAGATATATATTTCTCTTAAATACAAAATACGTTATACAAAGGTAAAGGTAAAACAGCGAAACAAAAATAACAAAAGAAAAGTTGTTTACGAGTCGGAATTAAAAACATTTTATTTTCCGAACTATCGTGGGGGCCCCTCTTTTGTGAAGACCCCCCCCCCAAGCTCTAGCCCCAGTTCCCTAAATCCGGGGAATACTTAAGTGGTCATGTAGAACGGATCAATGTGAAGCGTTTACAAGTAGAATATACAAGGCCGGTGGATGGTGAAATCGGGTTGGGCAATCCTTGTCGTACATACCTGGATCCAATCCAGGATCAGGAGGAAAGTAGCCATAACCAACGAGCATGATTAATATCACAGCGGATGAAGCGGGAGAGGTATCTCAGAAACGTATCAAGTGGAGATCCGTGATATCTGCCTAAACCTTCGAGGCAGAGGCGTGATGCTAGATGAATAAATTTAAATAAGTACCTCTTTTGGTATAAGCAAAAAGATATATAAATAAGATTCAACAAAACACATTACATAGAAGCACTCATAGTTAACTTAAATGATAAAAGTTTTATATCCACTAAACAAAAGCTATTTTTAAATTACTATAACAAAACCAATAACTAACCTTAAAATATATTATTAAAAGGAGTCCCTTTAGGCAAGGTTCCGAAGATACTGGCAGCTTTCCCCCTTTGAATAGCTAGACTAGTTCTTTGTCCGAGGTAGCTGCCAGCTCGTCGGTCTCCTGTGATGTCGACTAACCTTCTTGCTATTTCCTTGAAAAGCCTTATAGCGCTAGTACCCCACGGACCAAGGGTCTCGACACCGAATGGGACAAAATCATATTCGGAGCCTAGACCCCTGTATTTGCATGCTTTAGCTTTTTCAGCCGCATCACAAGCCGCACCAGCTCTGTTGTTGGTTCCATGTAGATGGGAAGGGGCCAGTATGTCTGAACAGGTTGCATCCCACACCAGCACCCGGCCCATCTTCCATGGAATCAAACTCATACCGTCCGGTATCCGGCCATCGTCTCTTGCAATTCCAGTGGGCTCAAGTAGACTTGGGACGTTGACGATGGCAAGGGACTTATATATTTAAATTTACTTAATACCCTAAATAATTAAATATTAAGTAACGACTTTGGGTGCCTGAAATATCGATATTTTAAACGCTATATTTTTAGGTTTGCGGTTCGCGATAGGGACATGTCAAGGACAATTAATAGGAACACTTGTTAGCGCATTTTAACGATAAGAATTTTTATTGTCATTATGGAAGTTTGTGGTGGTGAAATTGTGAAATATTTAATATAAATCGTGGTGGTGACATTCTATAGCTCAATTAAAAAAGAACAGTAGCGCCTGAACCTGAACACCTTGTTCCTTAGATTTCTGTTGCTGCTTCCTGATTTTATTAATAGAGGTAATATATCAGTCTTCTTGCTCGACATACCATCGATTGTTTATTTATTTGCACTTCGTTACCTTATACAAAAACATACATATGAAAAAGCAGGTTACATAAGTTATGACGGGCGGCCTTATCGCTAACAAGCGATTTCTTCCAAGCAACCCTAATATGGAACAATAAAAAAGAAACACCTACAGAGGGTAAAGTACAAGAAGTGCATAAATAATTAACAAAAAAACTCAAAATAACAAATTACACTAACTAAACTAAAATAAAGTAAACAAAAGAAATAACAAAAAATAAATAAATGAACAATAATATGTATAAACAAAAATGTAAAAGCTAATCGAAAGGTTAACTGGGTCACAATAAATATATATAAGTAGTAGCAAATTACGAGGCAGAAGAAAAATGATCAAAAACAAGATTTTTAAATAAATTTTAGAGCTATTTTTTTTTAAAGCTATACAATATTTTCCTTATCGTGATTCGAACGCACTACTGGTTGAGAGTAGCGCGCCTAGAACCATGACACATTGCTCTTTTCTTGATATATATTCTTCTTCATCTTTGAGAGTTTTGAGTACTAGCGTTTTCTCTGAGTTAGGGTGTTAGAACCCCGGTCGAATATCAATGGATTGTTCTTACTATGCGCGCAATTAGTACTTGCTACTGTTGACATTGTGATTTATATATTGCAGTGTTATAATTAAGAGTTCAAAGTCTTGTTCTTGTATTAAAATAAATTGAAATAAAGTGGATTGTAATTGACTGATTAATATCGCAAATCTCAGTGTTTTGTGTTTTTTGTAAAACAAAATTAAAACGTTACAATCCGATATTTTAATATGCTATATTTAATAGCTATGGAATACTTGATTATGTCCTTAGTAGCTTCAATTCGTGAAACGAGTTTACCTAACTTTGATATTATGTTGAAGGTACGAGTAATAATTTATAGAATGAAGTAATGATTGATAGAATGAAATAAATTAAAAAAATCAATGGCGCTACAACCGTTTTCATAATCAATCAATCTAATAGGCAAGTAGGTGATCAGCCTCCTGTGCCTGACACACGCCTACTTTTTGGCAAGTGCCTTTGACCCAAAAAGTTCCCGGTTTCGTCACGATGTTTTCTTTCACTGTTCGAGCGAATTTTAAATGCGCACATCGAATGTCCATTGTTCGACCGGGGATAGAACCTACGACCTCAGGGATAAGAGCACGCTGAAGACATGCTCAACACTGCTCTCTTATTATGTGATGATTTTATCAAGTATAAGTTATGCATATTATAAGAATAATTCTGTATGTCGAAATACCTATTGGATTTGATCATGCCTTGACTCTGCCTCTCTCTTTCAGATGCTCTCCCATTTCCACATCCCCGCTTGTAAAAATGACAATTTTCACTTAACAGGAACTTACCAATTTTCACATTAACCTCAATGTTGTTACAGGTTTAGCAATAACCTGCTACCAATGCAACAGTCACAATGACTCGCGTTGTTTAATGGACAAATTGCCGGATTCATTGAGACTCCCCTGCGGCCCCAAGGACACAATGTGCCGGAAGATATCCCAGGTTGTCGAGTTCGAGATGAACGGGATGCCCCCAGACAGCCGTGTGATCAGGGGGTGCGGTTGGGATGACAGTAGTTATAAGGTATGTCAAAAGTTAATTGTAAACCAGCTGCTTGGAATTGCAAAGTTATACATGTATGATTGTTGAAGGTAGAAGTATTAGGTACTAGCTGACCCGGCAAACGTTGTTTTGCCATGTAAGTATATTATTTCTAGGAAACATTTTATTCGTTCAATAAAAATAACCATCTACTATAGTAAAAAATAGGGTTGATCGTAAAGGGGTGAAAATTAAGGGTTGTTTGTATTTTTTGTATGCTGATCCATAAAAAATTAAAAACAAAAAAAATTGTCTTAAAAATAAAAATTTAGGGGTGGGACCACCCTTACAATTTAGGGGTTTAAAAGATAGATAGTAGCCGATTCTCAGACTTACTGAATATGCATAAAAAATTTCATAAGAATCGGTCGATCCGTTTCGGAGGAGTATGGGAACGAACATTGTGACACGAGAATTTTATATACATATTAATTAGATTATAAGTATCGCAATACAGCTAAGAAATTCTGCCAGCGTTAAAGGTACCACAGGAACCAAACTTTTTAAATTTGTTTTGATTTTCTTTTTAATAATTTTTATTATTACTTTGTAGGTTAAGAGACTTGTAAATACTGTATACTTGATTGTAAATATGTTAATTATAGTTTTTAGTTTAAATTCATGTAATTAGATATTTATTTAAATAAAAAAAATAGGTGTATTTTTTTTATAAGATTTGGTTATGCACTTCTTGCACTTTACTCGTCATATTTATTTTTTAGATTTTTCCCTTAGGGTTGCCTGGAAGAGATCGCTTGTTAGCGATAAGGCCGCCCGTTGTAGCCCTTATTTTTTTTCATGTAACGAAGTGTGAATGAATAAATACAAAATAAACATTCCTATCTCTAGTTATATATTGGTAAGATTCGTTAAAAAAATCACTGGTTCGCATAAGAAAAAATAAAATTAAGACTTGATTTCAAAATTCTGCTACGTTTGTCCTCAGAGTTTTGAATCTCCATAAATAATATGTAGTAATATTTGTTTATCAGTATTTATTATCACAAAATATAGATTACTAGTAGAGACGGCCAAGCGTTGCTGTGGCTAAGATTTTTGTTATATTACATAGTAAACTATTCAAGAGAAACGGCCAGGAGAACACAAATCCACTATGCTTTTTTGGTGGTTATGCCATTAAATTGTAGCTTATGTGAAACGTTGGTATTTATTTTGATAAGGATCAATACCTAGGTACGAATAAAGAGCCTTTTCTAGCGGTGGTATTTTAATAAAAATCACATTAATAAAAGGACGCTTATTGTGACGCAACTATAAAAGATAGAGACATGCTGTCGCGATATTTTTTATAGATAGTGATGTGTCCTGAAAAATTGAAATACATCATTTTGTTCTATCATTAACAGTTTTCGCAGCGCACGCGATTGAAGGAAGTATATGGTTATTTTTTTACACCTTGGGTTTGATTATTCAAGTTTTAGTAAGCATCCCTAATTTTTTTGAAAATGAAACATAGCCTATGTCACTCGGGAATAGTGTAGCTTGCCAACGGTGAAAGAATTTTTGAAATCGGTCCAGTAGTTTTGGAGCCTATTCATTTCAAACAAACAAAAAATCAATTCTTTCCTCTATATAATATTAGTAAAGACAAATGTTCACGATTGGCAAACTTAATAGCAGATAACAAAAGAAAGTGATACAAACAAACTATGTACTAAAGCTCCTAAATAAATCTCCCAATTACAAAACAATATCTAAAAGCACTCGCACGACTCAGAAAATTACATGTCACGTATGTTTTAACGTAATCGCAATCTTGATTCCAGGGTCGTTGCTACCAGCGCTCCGGTTTCGGTGGTAGACAAGAAGTGTGCTCCTGCCTCGAAGACGGATGCAACTCCGCCTCCGTACCAGTCGGTGCCACCGCTCTGATGCTCATCACATTAGCTGTATTACGATTTTAGACGCACCTTGAAACCTTTATGCAATGTGTTCACATCTAGGTTAATTAGCAATCACTTGTAAATAGCGACTAATATAGTTGTTAATGGACAGTTATTGTTTTGTTTGTATAAGTTTATTAAAAACAGTTTGCTGATGTACTCTTTTATTTATCTAGCCTTAGTAAAGAACAATTTGGGATTGGGCAAGTAATTTTAATCTACTTGGCTCACCTCTGTAAACCTCTTGAATCCTGTTACAAATCACTAACAATCTCAATTGCGTGTATCCGATTGAGCCAACGAGCAACATCCTGGATTATCTGGTGACACAATGTTGGATTTAGGACAAGCTACCCTAGATGCATTCGGGGTGCAGTTGAGAGAAAGCGTTGTCATGAAGTGGGCTGTTCTTATAATTGTCCTTTTTGGACTTTATCAAAACGGTGAGTTTTTTTATAATATAAATTAAATTGGAAATATTTTAGCGGTAATACGTACAATAAAATTAAACATTATGGTTTTCAAACGTTAATTTACCTTTCATGCTGTTGCTATATATATATAGGAAATGATTATTCTATAATAATAATTATAAATAAAGCGTATATAGTATTGCCAATTAATCTTGCAAGGCGTTATTTTTTTAAACAACGATACGATGTAATAATGTATGTTTATGATGGTTTTATTAATACTAGTGCTTTAATGTAATTGTAAAGAGATTATCTTTCTCTCTTGAATATCGGTGAGATTAATTGGCTTTTGTGTCTGTAGTCTTACATTATTTATATCGTTATCTCAAAAATAAGATTATTACTATACTTCAGTGGTTTTCAGCTGCAAAAAGTAATCCTGTATTGCTAAGGTGTAGTGTGCCCAGAATGTCACTGAATTATTTCCAAACCAATTCGAGGGCGAACCAAATGCGTACCAAGTCTTAAAAGGCCGGCAACGCACTTCCGAGCCTTCTGGCAATGAGTGTCCATGGGCGAGGGTATCACTTAACATCAGATGAGCCTCCTGCCTGTTTGCCTCCAATTACATAAAAAAAACAAAACATATTGTGTTCTCGTATGTAAATATAGCTAGAGATTATAGAGATTTTTCTGCGTCTATTTTTAAGGCAAATAGACTAATATGACTGCAATATCTTTAACAATTGGGGTTTATAATTGATGTATATTTTTACAGGCTTAGCAATATTGTGTTATGAATGTAATAGTGCAATAAATTCGATGTGTTCCGCCGCTGTTTTACCTGACTCCTTGAAGAAGAACTGTACAGATCTAGACAAAGGAGTTACGCATACTCTCTGTAGGAAGATCATTCAACATGTGGACTATGAGACAAATGGACAATTGCCCATGAGCCGGGTCATACGGAGCTGTGGCTGGGATGAAAGTCGATACAAGGTTAGCTTCGTAATATTAAGAATACGTAAAAAATTTCGTTTAAAAAAAAAAAAGGATCTTAAAAATATTAATAAATATCGCTAATCCAATAAAATAGAATATTAGCCATACATTATTATGTCATATTATACAAATGCTGAGCAGTGTTGGCCTAGTAGCTTCAGCGTGCGAATCTCATAACTGAGGTCGTAGGTTCGATCCCCGGCTCACCAATGGACTTTCTTTCTATGTGCGCATTTAACATTTGCTCGAACGGTGAAGGAAAACATTGTGAGGAAACCGATATGTGTTAGACCCAAAAAGTCGACGGCGTGTGTCAGGCACTAGAGGCTGATCACCTACTTGCCTATTAGATTTAAAAATGATCAAGAAACCTGAAGCCAAGACTTAAAGAGGTTGTAGCCACATAAATTTTTTATTAAGTATACAAATGCTATTCATATATGTTTCAAGTTCCGTTTGATTCCAAATGCTGGGTGTATTTGTAGACAAGCATATTACAAAGCTTGGAAACATGCTGGTCCCGCTCCATAGAACAAACAAACTATACAAAATCAACTGGTTCCTAGTATACCTATACCTATATAAGGTTTATTTTTGCTTTATTTTTTTTTAACAAATCATCTTTGACGTAACTCACACACTATTTGACTTTATGTTAATTATTTCTTTTTTTAAAACAATAATATATCTATCTCTAGTTAGAATATTTGTAAATATGTGAGCATCATGTGTCTACATAATAATATATGCTGCATTGTTTTTTTAAAACACCATTTTATTTTAGTATAGAAGTTTTTTTGTTCTAGGTACATGGTCTTCACATATAATTATCAAATCATTATATAAAAAATATTGTGGTAGGGGAGCCCAAGAGGGGATTTCGGGATTTACTAAAGCGCGGCAGATTAATATATAGGGGGATACCTTGTACCCGGTTAAGTACCTCCACAAAATATGAGGCCCATATATAAGGCCGCCCGTGAAGGAGACAGGATCAGATTAGTAAAAAAAAATTGACCATCAGAAATTCCCGAGCGCGTCAGATTAAGGTAGGGTGAGTTAATTACATCCTAAAAAGTGTATATTCCACTAATCTGACAATTTGAAAGTGACGTAAAAAAAGGGGAGGGCAACAAAGTTGTAAAAAAAAAACGTCATCTCGACATTCTCGAGCGTAGCTAATTTTTTTTTTATTTTGAAGGAAATAATTCAAGAATAATGAAAAATATATAATCTGACGATTTCCGCAAGACGAAATAACAAAAATTCGTCGATAAAGTTAAATGCGTGCAGCTGCGTGATGCCTACATTTCCTTAAACCGATCGGAATCTACTAAACGCGTTCTAAATATTTCCCTCAAAATTACATTTCCTGTGAATTTGAACCGATTCGATCGAAGATTTTGAGAAATTTTGAAAAATCTTAAAAAATAAGTTTTTTTTTTTTTAAAGTGGTTTCTTTATCGATCAACTTCAAAAACTAATCCGCCTTTGAGCTTGAAAAACCACGTCGATCGCCACCAAGCTGGTCAAAAGCGGTTGATTCGTTGAGAGATATCGTGAACGAAAGAAACCCGAAAAATGTTTTTTGGGATTACTCGAAAATTTGTGGTTCGATCAAATAAAACTGCGTCGAATGCCGCCAACGCGTGAAAATTGCTTGATCCATTAAAAGTTACTGGGTTTGAAAAATTCCAAAAATAGTGTTCTATGAAACTTCTATCAGACTTTGAGAGGGAGAGCTAAATGCATAGAAATATTATTTATTTGAACTCAGCGAGCTCAAAATATCAATCAATATCAATTTTAAGCGCCCAGGAATGGAATTAGGGAATGAGGGATGGCCCTTTAGGTGAACCGTTTTTCTAAAAAAATTTTGTAGATCAGGCGATAGATAATCGTCAGATTATGAGACAGTAGTTTAGAACATAAAGATGAACACATATATCTTAATCTGAGGCTTGAGTATTTCAAAATTGCGATTTTTTTGCAAATTATGAAAATGGGTGGGTTGGTCCCATCAAATCGTAGATTAGTAATAAGAGCTTTTTTTATTAAACTCTTAAAAATCTACGTCAAATTTTATTTTTTTTCATTTTCAACCCTTAAATACAACCACCCGCATCATGCAAACGATAGATTAACTTAGTACATTATTAAAAATACGTAGGGCATTGATGCTATAATATGACGGTGAGGATGTCCAGAACAGTTTTTTTTACATATTTAATAATCTATAGCGCTTCCCCACGATGTAAAGGTATATATCATATAACATTTTTTCTTCTTATTATCAACTTTGCATCCCAATAGGTCTCTAGACGCTCGAGTAAATCCCCATTTAGATGATTGTAAAAACTATTTGAAAAGAGTAAGTATGGAGTTTCTTGCCCATTCTTCTTCATATGAAACTACCTTTTGGCAGGGGCAACTAGAGTTTTTTAATTTTTATTAACTTGTAATTTTGACTTTCAAAAGCGCCTTCTCAATAAGCCTAATTGAAATAAATGATTGAAGAAAAAACTTTTTACCGGATTAAAGTTATGTATTATTATAAATTTACAATTATTTAACATAATTTTAAATTTATCCGACGTTTCGCGTGCTTTACACCGTGACCACGCACGCTGTAAACTTTAATCCGGTAAAAAGTTTTTTCTTTAAATGTGTAAAGGTTATGTTAATCAAAGACAATACTATAAATGATTGACTTTTTTGATGTTATTGGAAATCAAACGGAACACTAAAGTTTTCTAATGATGTCGATAAAGACTTAACCACCCACAGTGCGCTTCTAAATTATAAAATTATAAAAGCGTACCAATTTTTGAAAGGCCGGCAACGCGCTTACGCCTTTCTGGCAATGTGAGTGTCCATGGTATCACTTAACATCAGATGAGCCTTCTGCCCGTTTGCCTCCGATACATAAAAAAGTGTACTTATGTACGTGCGTAAGAAGTTATACTTCTTTGGCATTATTAATAATACATACGGATAGATAACCTCAATTGTATTGAAGCACTTAGGAAGGTTGATGAGCACAGTTTTTTCACAAATATTTTCTTATATTAATTAGTATTGATTTAAATATTCCATTTAAATCACTTCTGATTATAAAACAGACGCACATACAAAATTCGCACTTGTATAATGAAAACAAAATGAAAACACGTATTTTAAATGTAGAAACTCAAAACATGTGGATAAATATTATAAATATTAATACACAGTGAACAGAGGCGGCGTGCCAACATGCGCCACTAATTTCATTCTGTTAATTTTGTGTCACGGTGCGCGCGCATCGTAAAATTTCACTCTCATCAATTTTTCATAACGCGCCTAAAGAAGTATAACTTCAAAAAATCTAAGCATAACCTGACACAATACGAGTTTTTTTGTAGAATACCTGTTACAATCGAGCGGGTTACGGCGGACGTCAAGAAGTATGTTCCTGCAATAAGGACCTCTGCAATAGTTCTTCGAAACTCACCGCTTTTGGGATACGCACATCTATTGTATTCTTCTTTTTTAGTGCATTACTAAATAAGTTGTAATTAGTAGAACAGAAAAATAGCGAGTATACTGGGTAATAATATTTCGTGTCCCAATTACATTAGAATTTGTAAGGAAATAGTAACGGCCGGAATGAGTATTATATATTTTTATACTACGACTACTGCCTTGTAACGTTAAAATTTAAACACAAAAATATATATTCAATGTGGTGGACGCGTTTAGCCAAGCTGTCGCAGAGTAATTTTGACTTAGTCAGTGTACTAGCAAATGTCCTAAATTTTTAATTATTTTGTTACCCAGTTGCAGAATTCACTAGTTGTATAAGTTATGTAATACCGAGCTTAAAGTTTATAAATAAAAATGAAGAGAGATTATAATTTCGTATAATGAGTTGTGATTTTATTTATTTCATCCGTATATTTGATAAAATATCATAGAAAAATTGTTCGTTCATTTTCCTAGCTCAGAAGTTCATGTTTTCTTAAAATCTGATGAATGGCCGCAAGCCTGGTAAAATTACATAGCAATATGTTACTCGAAGAATCAATTGACGGTACAATACTTCAGTACCTTAGGTTCTATGTACCTGATGGGTCTGAGTCTGACATCTTCCGCCTTTACTTCATGTGCCCACAGCTAGGACTAACCTTCTGAAATGGGCACATATGATTCGGTGTATTAATTAAGTCAACGAATTACATAGGTTAACGGACCTTTTTCATTGTCCGTTGAGTGAACTGGCAAAAGTTCTATTATTTGTTAGTGCCTATAGTAGTTAGTTAATTTCTTGTATTTCATAATATTATGTAATTTTGTTTTCCTTATTAATTCGTATGTTTGCAAAGTGTTTTTACAAAGAAATAAATTCCCAAGTTTTATTATATTAAGTTCTTATGAAAGCAATGATATTCGCGCGCATTACAATAACACTAATCTTTGTCGTACACCACTTTACTTTTGATTGAGGAATTTATTTTTGAAATCTACGCCAACCAAAGCCAAAATAAAACCTTACACAAAAAAGTTGGCAACATCAATTTATTTGTTTCAAATTGAAATTGCGTCTTAAAAGCCTTAAAGTCAAGGGTGATTTTTAGCCCAATAAAGGGGTTTATTTTAACCCAAACAATAGAAAAAACCTTCACGAAGGTCGCATATTGTCAACAGAAAAGAAAATCGTTTGTCTAAAACAAATGAACAGAATCATATGGTGCTTTTGAAATATTTGGCAAGACACATTGAACAGTGAACATCGGAGAAAGAAAAACGACCATGATAATCACATTTTGCATAAAGAAATATAATTTGAATTAATTAATATTAACAGTGGCTCATACAAATCCAAATCGTGTACAAATCTAACAATTATTTATAAGATTAAAGTTTTTTTAAAGACAGTTACATTGACAGACGAAGTTTTCAATTCATAGGTAATAAACTAATTTTATAATGTATTAATTGTGACGGTTCTCAGGCGAGGCTCTAGGATTTTTTAAAAAACGTAAGTATACTAAAAACCTATATTTCTAACAATGAAATAGTAATCGCAAACGTAATATATTTCGAATGCACAGTAGTTTTGCTAAATCTAAAATGTATATTAAAATGTTAAAATCGTCTAATTATCTATCCAAAAGTCAATATTTGAAGGGAGGCACCATCTAGATTTTAGATCAAGAAGCGGTTGCGTCAAAGTTGATCGTTGAAAGAATTTGGTTAATAAAATTTTTATTAATGTTTCAGTATACAGCCAAATGCAAGAATATGGTGGTGATAAAACTATTGACCATCGCGAAGGCACTGAGGGAAGGGAAAGAGGACAAGAAAGCCTCCATAAAAACCATTCTTATACCGTGATACAGAAACACTATGGTCAGTGAGCTGCGATTGAATTCACTTTTTTTCGATTTGCTATGCGATTTTTATTGTAATGTTTCATGATATGGAAAATAAAACATAACGATCTCGATTATGCATCAGAACTGCATCTTCAACCAAAAAGCTCAAACTTATATATACTAGTAATATTGTGTACAGCGGATTTTTTTTTCTATAAGCAAAGAAATAATTGAGAATAATAATTGAGCCCAGGTACGCTAGGTTTAAAACATTTTCATTCCGATTCGGCCACGGCGACTGGAAATTGACATTTATGTAGGGGATATTTCAGAAGACATATGTGTGCACAGAACTGAACACTGTCTATTCCATAGCCCTCGTAGATCAGTGACATGATGTCCAACATGACTGATGTTCTGCGACTGACTAAACTTTCTTACTTAGACTCTTGGAGATTAGGACCTCTTACGATCTGCAGAAAAACATACTACATCAAACGCCATCCGAGAGTATGGATGCCTTGAATGCATTTTTTGCTTTACCAAAAAAACAACTCTTTCATTTGGTTAAACTTTCAGGCTCAAAGGAAGGTGACAAAACAAGCTATGGCAGAGTAACATCTGGGGGCTATGATTCATCTAGCCAACAGTGTCAAAACACTAGGTATTACTTATAATTTATTTAAAAATAGTTAAAACAATAATGCCCTTAAATCAATGTTATTTTAGATACATCAACTCGTCGGTGCCTACGTTTAGCTCTCCACCACATTCGCCATTAGTTGGTGTGGTGTTCCATCCTTCCTCTCCTAACTACAGCCGATCAACCATGACTGAGCATCTAAACCCTGATAGAAGATCGCAAAGTGCATGGTCTATCTCCAACCAAGAACCGATTGGTACAGGCGCTAAGAAAAAAATAGTCAAAAGCCACGAAAAGCGAAACGTCTGCAGTGCTGATCCACGATACCACGAAAGATATAAAGACTCCAGTACCGAAACGGAACCGAACAGAAAACATGATCGTAATCTTAGAGCTGATTCTACAACGAGTTTGGATTTCTTCGCTGAAGGTGAGCGAATGGTATCGGAGCTTTGTAATATACCTGATCCATCTAAAGGCGATCTGAATTCTAAAAATATTCAAAAAGGAAGTCAGCAAGAAGACGATAAAAAATCCAGTGGCTCTTCAGAAACATTGCTGACGGCTTTAGATAAAATTATTATTCATGATCAAATACCTATACAAATCGTCCAACTAGCAATTGAGGCGTGTACTGATGCTGAAAATATAGCTATCGCTCATCACAATCGTCCCTGTTTTAAAAATATACACTCGATTTGTGCAAAAACACGCTCAAATGTACAAAAACCAGACAGTGCCGTTGCTAATTTGCATTCTCAGGGTATTCCGTGGGTAATAAAAAACTTTATATTTTCTTTTGTCAGAATCTTAGATGGTTGGAAAGGCGTGAAAGAACTACTAAGTGAAAAACATGACAGTTTTTCTAGAATTGAAAATAAATATTATAGTCCCAACATCAGAGAATGTTTCGTTCAATGGCAAGCAATAACAAAGGAAATGCTAACTCATATTTATAAAACCTTTAAATGCCTTGATCAAGGATTCACTATGGAACAAAAGAGTTTTACACACAACTATTATGCTACTAACTCAGCGGCGCCTCGTCATCAAAATCAAGGCAAATTTCAGCCAATTAAAACGCATGTAAGCACCCCAAGAACTATTAATACTTCTCCACAACCATATAATACTGTCCAACCTCCGTGGATGCAGAGCCAAAATCAGGCACAGATTCAAAACTTCAACGAGAATCCATGGCCATCTAGACCAAACGTCAGCTACAAAAAGTTTCCAGTTGTTCCACCTCCAAGTACACAGAACTTTTATCCTTTAAATGACCAAAGTGAAATAGATTATCAAAAGACGTCGTACAAATGTGATCCCTATAACGTAAGAGAAGCGAAGCCCCGTCAATCTTGGACTATAACAAACGTTCCAGACTTTAGAAATTTAGAAAGCATGTGTCACACTGACCACCGAGATTTGTACGCTCAGCTGCGGCATAAAATGGATGCAGAACTTGGCAAAGCTCCCGGACAACCTATTTTTGGAGCGATGCCTTGTGATCTAATGCAACGAAGAGACATGGAATTAAAAGCTAAAATGATACCTTTAAGTCACGTAGAAAAAACTTTAATACCTAGTATGGCTACAGCGGCTGATATGAAAAACTATGTACAAAAAAATAACAGCTGTGGTGACACAAAGGATGACACGGATTTTTTTGCGGCGTGGGGTCAGATGGTACAAAAAGAATCTAACGACTTTTTAACTCATCACAATCACAACATTCAAGTTCCATCTAATGTTGTAACGCTCTCGAGCAATATCTCTGGCCCCGTACAATTTATTGACAATGAAAACGATGAGTTCCATGAAATGTCAAAGGTTTATATGAAACCTGGAAGTTACAAGGTACCTATTAAACCAGCTGATCCAATATCTTCATTCGTCCAAAGCGGATCTCAAGACATAGGCTTCGACAGTGCGAGTACAGTTGAAGATTCTTTAAAAATAAATGGCCAATTTTCACCTGTCACATTAGCTCCTCAGCCCAAATATAATGTCGAATCTTGGCCATGTTTGATACCAAGACGTGCTGATGATATCTTCAACGAAGAACAAAAGCTTAGGAATATGGTACCTCCATTAGAAATGAGAAGCATTGATTGCCTTGATATACTCAACTCCATGACATCGGATCGCGCATGGGAGGCTGCAAAGCAATCGGCGCCTAAACTTATGGATTTCCTTCACGACGACAGTAAATCAGACACAGCAAGACTATATGATGCTTTAGGTTTATGTACAATTGACGAATTTTCAAATGATGACAAGCAAATACATATGAATTTTGAGAAAAATGATATTTGGCCAACAAATTCGTCCTTCAATCAATATATATCTTCCGGATCACAGTTATGGGAACAAAATGTCTTGAGACATGATTATAGTCAAACCTTGTTTAATGAAGATATTATAAAATTTTCCGAAACTGAACAGAAGAATGACTTTGACGACAATATACAAAATTACGTAAATAAAAGAAACGAGTCTAAGGAAATGAAGTGTGCGAATTTTGATCAAACAGGGAATTGCGTCAGAGATGACAGTCAAAAGAAATTTACAACAAAGTCCAAAGTGGGTGTTTCCGGTATGTGGTATCATCCAAAAAAGAAGAAGCCGATACCATCAGCTTCAGTAAAAAAGTTTGAAATCATAATAGCGAAATTATCCACGCTTAACGAAGCGTCATTTATTCAGCATGATATGGATATAAAAACGGTATGATAATTACAATTTTAATAGCTTTAGTGCATATCTAGGACAACCCGTTAGTAGCCTTAATTTGATATTTGAACTACTTAATTACATTCATAATAATTATTTCATTATATTTTCCAATGTTTTCCAGGCACCACGATTTTATGAGGTCGTTAAGTATCCAATGTGCTTACATGACATTTTAACGAAATTGAAAAACTCCTCGTATACAGAAATAGATCAAGTTATACAGGATTTTAGACGGATTTTCAATAATGTTAAGCTTTATCTTAAGGTATTGTTTATATACTAAACTTTCATTACCTACATAGTAATAATAAAAATAATTAAAATTAAATTTAAAAATTTTGGTCCCTGTGGCAATGTACGTTTGACGATGGCAGCATTTCCTCGCTTATTGCTAGTATATATTCGTTGAGCGAGGAAAACACCAGGTCACCAGCTTGTTTATATTATATTTTGTTTGGGAACATATAATTTAAAAAACATAATTTAAACTATATATGAATGTCTATGTTTGAATTCGTTACAGAGTTATCCGGATACCACCATGAAAAAAAATGTTAGTAAAGTTGCAGTTGAATTTGAAAATCTATTGAACGAGGAATTTCCAATAAAAATGGATACAAAGAAGTCTTTAGATGAATGCGATTCTAATAAAACACGTGACAAAGAAAACGATATTAAGAATAATCTCGAAGACATTAAAACAGACTAAGTAAATTTTCCATTGGGAATAGCCGTAACAAATTGTAGTGTTTATCAATCCAGGGATACCGTTTTGGAAAACATTTTAAGATTTTCTTTATTTATTTACAACTTTTCATCTAAGCTTGTACAATATCTAAATCTAAATGATTTAAGAAACATCTAGTCACTAATTATTTTTATACAAATGTCAGTGAAGTTATCAGAACTAAATGCTTGAGGTTGTAGAAGTTCTTGCCAATATTTTTTGAGTGGATTTTATCATCCCGGACAGGGATTAATTTCATTTCTCTTAATTGTTCTTCTCTTTCATCATTAGATTTTAATTTCGTTTTATAATTATTATTATACTTATTATCGTATCTCATTTTATTTAGTACATTTGTTAATTTTTAAATGAAAATCAAATTTAAGTTGCATTAGTCGAATTGTTTGTTTACAAATTAGTATTCCATGGTTAGCTTAGCAGAGACTACCAATATGTTTATATCTATATCTGTGATGTATATTTAGGTTAAAGATGATTTAAAATCGCAATGTACTATGTATAAGTTGGATTAATAACGTGTAAATAAAGATACAAAACAATTTTAAAAATGTGACAGTTTTTCGCTTTTGAGACTGGCAAGTATAAACTCTTTCACGTTGTTTGGGTTATTGAAACTGTTTTCTATTTGTTTGCATTGCTCTCCGTTGGTATTATTTTTTAATAATTTTTGATTGAATTTTACCTGCCGTAGAGGTTAAGCGAATCTTCAGGCGTCACTTTCGGTATTTGATTATCATTATTGTAACTTTCGGTTGGTCAAAATTTTAAAGACGTCGAGCTTGTTAATTTTAAGTATTCATTAAGTCATGATTTTATTATTTAACTTATTTATCTAAAATTATGGCAAGGAACTCGTACGGTAATAAATGAGTGAATTTGTAGTTATTTTTTATTGTTAATGCATTGTTGAACGGTACCACAGTACAACATTACAATTATTATTGCAAATACACGTTTAGTTTAACATTATACAGGTATCTTTACATTCCAAATTCGGAATTGATAACAAGTACGATTTTTTCTGAAAAGCACGTTTAACTGTTTTTTTTTAGTGTTAAAACTTGGTTCTCGACCGTGAGGTTGACTTCGGACCGCGTCTTAGTCACCGATTAAAATTTACCAAGAGAACGCAGCCTGCGACGGCGATACAGTTAGACTGTAGAACAGCCTTTCTAAAAATTCTTAGGCATAGGCAACGTACATAATTTTTAATATTTAAAAATTGGATTGTTCACTTTAGATAATTAAATGTTAGGTTTTATGAAGAAATTACTAGGAAATTGTTTACACAGTTAATTTGCAACACAATGAAAAACTGAAATTCAAATTTATACGTTTTCAATAGCCTTAATAATAAAATTATTGGGGACCTACGTTGAGAAACACTGCGGTAGAACATATTTTGGTAGAATGTCTAATATATGATGGGTACAATGAAGAAAATAACAAATATGCGCAATAAAGGAAGGAATAACATAGTAGTATATCGAAGTATATCTGAGGCGTCGACGGCTGGTCTCACCTCCTTGCCTGTAATGAAATCTTCAATGGAAGACTCTGGAATGAGCCCCATTACCTACTGGACTTCATTTTTATTGTACTACTTAGAAAGACAATTTTTCAATGATCGCTGTGTTATAAGCCATTATGAAAGTAGCGATATCTGTTTTTTATCAGTTTCCTGTCAGTCATAAAATTCATAAATAAGTCTCGCTTATCAGTAACGGGACAATATATTATGAACCACTAAAGTATTACGCATCTTTTTTATAACATAAAAATAATTGTATATTTACCCACAACTGCATTTAGTATCTTTACTATGTTACGAACTCCCTGTGCATGTTTATAAGTTACACCTTTTTAGGTCTAGGCATCATTTCTGTATCTGTTTCATGATCATAGACAAATGATCATGGCAACCCTACCTGACACACGCCGACGACTTTTTGGGTCTAAGGCAAGTCGGGATGTTTTCCTTCACCGTTTGAGCGAATGTTAAATACGCACATAGAAGGATACACAGCTAGGGACCGATCCTACGACCTCAGGGATGAGAGTCGCACGCTAAAGCCACTAGGCCAACACTAAGTTAAGGAAGGTTGTTTTATAAGTAACTAGCGGACAAGCGATTAGGATATTAAACAAAGTATGAAAGTAGCGACTTCAGCGCCAACTGCCAGGCTGATTTGTGAATCTAAACCATCCAGGGCTCCACCAAAACGCATACAAAGAGTTGAAATAGAAGAGGAGTTCAGTGACATACACACGTACAGTAGAATTATATACATGTAAGCTATCCTATCTTTTAAGTTAGATCAAACCGCACACTGCGTGCAAATTTGATTGAAATCTATTAAGTAGTTTAGGAGTCCATAGCGGACAAACAACGTGACGCGTAATTTATTATATTAAGTATATTAAGATAATAGTTTTCTTAAAATTTATTGCCTAGAAGGGATCGCTAATAAGCGATAAAGCAAGTACACTTGATGAATTAATTGTGTTTCTTGTAGTCCTGTTTTATGTACATTCATGGTGATAATGGTAACGTTCAAAATTATATAGATATCAAAAAGCCTCCAAAGTTATGATCGACATTTCAACATCTTTACGATATTGTTCGTGATTGCAGAATATTTTTATTTAGGTAGAGAATAAATATGTAACTGTATCTGATAAAGGATGCCTCATTATGATGCCACGTGATTAGTCCACTAAAGCTATGTCCTTACTTTAATTATCAATTTATTTTACTATTATTAACTATTAATTACTTAAGATGTCATGTGGAACATGGTGTAATGGTTGTAGCTCCTTACAAACATTGGGTAAAACAAAAAACTTGGCGCTTTAAAAGAGTGGCGGAGAGTTTATTCCAGTTCTTCTCTTCCGTTCTACGCCCTTCAGCCCTGCGATTCTTCAACTCACTTTTAGAACTCACACAGCGGTTTTCGCATCGGCGGTCGCTCTCAAATCAGTCGTGAAGCAGTCATTTTATGATTTGGCATTCTGAAAAGGTGGGAAATTGTAGTTTATTGTTTATCAGAATGCCAAATCATAAAATGACTGCTTCACGACTGATTTGAGAGCGACCGCCGATGCGAAAACCGCTGTGTGAGTTCGAAAAGTGAGTTACAGAATCACAGGGCTGAACTGGCAGTAAATGTAAAATTATATGCATTTGATATGTATTTCTTTTGACATTCATAAGTGTACATTGTGTTACCTATATGAATAAATGATTTTGACTTTGACTTGACTGATAAATGGTTCTCGACTTTTTAAACATTTAATAGAGAGATTTGCTTTCCAACCGGAATATTATATAAACGAAAGTTCTCGAAACCAGCAGCGTCATATTGTCCTCTCATGAAAAGTATTATAGGGTAATGTTTGAAAGCGTACAAAATAAGTAAAAGTGAAAGAAGGTACAATTTCGTTCCTTACCTTTAGTCCCTACGAAGTTCTCGGTGGGGGTGTTAGGGTAGTACTCACTAGAACTTCGTAGGGATTTAGCTTTGATCAAATTTGGTTTAAGAATAATGAATAACAAACGAAAAGCGCATACTTGCTGGGACAGGTAACCTTTTTGCTGCGTATTCGACTCGCACAGTCTAGCGTTGACAAGCTCCTATTCCCTCCTTGGCTGCTTCATATTAAACGCAGATAAATTGTGAAGCGTATGGAGGTAATATAATATGATTTAAAAATGTACTTTAGACAGCAAAAGGTTTTCTGTTAATTATAAAATTGTTAGTGTAAGTAATAGTTTATGTCATAAGACATAAACTTAATTGTATAATAGTTTTATTAAATTTTTTATTGAATACATATATAGTTACATAAATAAATCAGTGGCGCTACAACCTGTTTTAGGCCTCAGATTTCTGAATCTGTTTCATGATCATTTTTCAATCTAATAGGCAAGGAAGTGATCAGCCTCCTGCGCCTGACACACGCCGTCGAATTTTTGGGTCTAAGACATGTCAGTTTCCTCACGATTTTTTCCTTCACCGTTCGAGCGAATGTTAGATACGCACATAGAAAGAAATTCCATTGGTGCACAGCCGGGGATAGAAGCTACGACCTCGGGGATGGGAGTCGCACGCTAAAGTCACTAGGCCAACACTGCTCATATAATTACTTGCTGCATATAATTAAATAATTAAGTAAATAAATAAATAAATAAACCTTATTCAAAATTCAAAAATCGTTTAATCATATAGGTAACACATTGTACACTTATGCGAAAAAGGAAATTAGCGCAATCTCAATTTTTGTTGGATTAAACGAGGTAGGTAATGTCAAACATGGCTGAAAATGAAAAATTTTTATTTTGGAATGGCTAGTTTTCCAGGCACATGGGTTTAAAGAAAACCACAGGACACCTTTTCATATAATCTTTTATTTATTTATTTATTTACACTTTGTTTTTTATATAAAAATTTAACATAATTACTTGTAAAGGAAAGGCAACTGGCGGCCTTATCGCTTTCGAGCGATCTCTTTCAGGCAACCACTGGAACTTAACTTTTATATAAGTGTGTTCGAAGGACCTGCAGCTTAGTTTCATCATCATACATGATTATTTGCCGACACTGTAGTTGATATGAATTTCATAGCGTATAATATGATATGTACGATACAAATAATATAAGAATTGACCAATTCATATGACTAATAATGTAAAATTTAAAATTCCTTCAAAGACAAATTAGCGCGCCATTGTGTGTGGCAGAATATGCGAACTTACGATTGTACCACCTTACACATTTTTGTACCATATTCTTGCAAAAAATTATTATTATTATTACATCGAGTAGAATACGAATTTCCACCCCTATCACCTCAATGTCCGTTTTTCCATAACTGAGCTTTTTTAAGGACTCCGGCGCTAATAACTATGTGGAACCAGCTGCCCAGCTAGGTCCAATTGGTTCATACACACTTTAATATGTGTATATAGGGTCCATGAAGACGAACTGATTCTTAAAAGACTGTCATGCATTGGCGTGTGTTCAAGTGTCTATAGGTCGCGGTATTAGTTAACATCTGGGCGTTTGCAATAAATAAAAAAGGTGGATATCTAGTAGATGTACACAGAACTAAAATGCGGTTTGTCCAATGACTTGCTCAAATAATGAATTTCTCTTAATGAAATGCAATTGTTCCGGAGCTCAACAGATTGATTTTAGGTGAAAGTAACGAAATGGAAAGGGCGGGATAAAATTCATTATGATGTTGTCGAGTGAGCATGCGGCTGTGTCTGCGCCGAAAACAGTTTATTATTGCGTAATTTACTTTCGCTTGTGTGATGTGAAAGAAATTTTATAATGTAAGTGAGCAATTAGTGTGTTTAAAGTGTTTAAAGTAAGTATGAAGTTACATTTTTAGATATTTATTCAGAAATATGCAATTTAGACATTTATTCGTTGCAATTATATTATTTTCCAGAGAAATGGCAAGGCAATGCTGGTTTTATTTATATCATTTATGATTTGTTTATTAAAAGTGATTACATTTTAAATAAACAATATTTCTTGTTGACCAATCAATGTCTTGCATGCAATAAGAATAAATTATTTATAACTTAATATTATATTTAAAAATTATTTATAAATTATCTTAACTATGAATATTGATTTCGAATTGGTATCATTAACTAAAAAAATATTTCAGAAACAAAGGGTTTATTATTCTAATGCCTTATGATATAAAACATTCTTTGTTTGTTTTTCAGCGTCGCGTATATAAATTGTTTTGTTGCTAGCTCCGGAACAATTGCATTTCATTAAGAGAAATTCATTATTTGAGCAAGTCATTGGACAAACCGCATTTTAGTTCCATGTACATCTACTAGTATTTATTGCAAACGCCCAGATGTTAACTAATACCGCGACCTATAGACACTTGAACACACGCCAATGCATGCCAGTCTTTTAAGAATCAGTTCGTCTTTATAAACCCTATATACACACATTAAACCAATCAATGTCTTGCATGCAATAAGAATAAATTATTTATAACTAGCAGACCCCACAGACGTTGTCCTGTCTTAACTATGAATATTGATTTCGAATTGGTATCATTAACTAAAAAAATATTTCAGAAACAAAGGGTTTATTATTCTAATGCTTTATGATATAAAACATTCTTTGTTTGTTTTTCTGGCGCGTATATAAATAGTTTTGTTGCTATTCCTACACGGGAACAGATGTATTTTGTCAATATAATAACTTCGATCGAAGCATTTGTTTTAAATGATATTCATTTTTCTTACATCCTTTTTGACGATATTTGCAGCACGCATTCTGTCAATGTTATGTCAAACGCCATAAGGTTACATCAAAAAAGTTTGAATTGTATGGTGGTTAAGTATTCTTAAATTTTCTTTCATAAGAAATATTTCCTTCTCCTGACAATAACAAACAACCAGGTTTTTCCAAATACCCATGGCTTTTCTCTACATTCGCTTTCTGCTAACGCTATATATCTATATCTATATCTTCTATATATAAAAAGAAGATGGATAGAATACAAGAGGCTGGCAAATCCGAATTTAGACACCGATCATTGCCTCAAAAATAATTTTGCTTTTTTTGTTTTGTAAAATTTTGTTGTTAATTTTAGTTTACTGAAAAAAGTGCGTCATAAAATTATAACAGTATTTATTTAACTGTTCAAATTTAAACTGTAATTAAAGATAACTAAAAACCTTCTTTCGTTGATTAATTAAACAAGATTAATTAGATAACTAGAGTAGATACTTAGTAAATATAAATACGGTGAATGACAAAGTTTATTGACAAAATTAATCATAGACAACACACCCATAAACAAGGTTGTGATTAAAGATTAGATACATTTTCGTTAATTGAAAATTTAAAATACATTAATATATTTATTAAAATTCTTCTTTTCAGTCGCTTTAATTAAAAATTCAAAAATCATTTAATCATGGGTAACATTTTATACTTATGACTTGTCAGCAAAGAAATACATAATATTAATGCTTCTAATTTTACATTTAGTGCCAGTTCTCAAATCAAGGGTGTAGAACGGAAGAGAAGAACTGGCAATAAACTCTCCGCCACTCTTTTTAATCGCCATGTTTTTTTTTACACAACGTTTGTAAGGAGCTGCAACCATTAAACCATGTTCCACATGACATCTTAAGTAATTAATAATAATAACATAAATTAAAAACAAAGAGTTGTCCTCTATCAGCAGGAGGCATGGTAAAATAGGAGCACGCACTTACATTCTCGTGGGAACAACACGCAAACACATAGTCGAAATAATTAACATCACCGCACGAATTCAAGTACGACCAGTCACCACAAGTAGCACCCGTTCACGAGTATGACGCATGGCCAGCCATCGGCCATGCGGCCAACGACTCGATTTTGTTACAACTTAGTTAGAGTTAGAGGCGCCGTTTAGTTAAAGGCTAGCTTGGCTCCGTTGGTAACTGAACGGCTAATGTAAATATCTAACCATTAGTCAAAAAAGTTAACTACTCAGTAAAAAAAAAAAAAAAAAAACGGAACGGGAAAAAAAAAAAAAAAAAAAAAAGGAAAAAAAAAAAAAAAAAAAAAAAAAAAAAAAAAAAAAAAAAAAAAAAAAAAAAAAAAAAAAAAAAAAAAAAAAAAAAAAAAAAAAAAAAAAAAAAAAAAAAAAAAACGGCTAATAAGCTAGCTAGCTGCGACATATATATACAAAGTGGCCAAAAAGTCGTGGATCAAACGCAAATAAAAGTAAAAAAAAAGTACTAAGTAAAAGAAAAGTAATTTTTTTTCACAGTGGGGTCCGAAGTAAAAAAAAAGTTATGATTTGAAAAAAATGTATATCGTATAACTTAATATTATCTTCAATACACTCAATTAACAACTATAAATAGTATGTCTAACGCAAGAACTCATCAGTACCAATCTAGTGGATATTATGAAAAAGATACAGGGTGTAGATTTTTTCGAATTTTAATAAGAATTAGTAAATAAAAGTCAATTTTATTATAAAATGCAAAATAAATTATATCTCTGCAGGGGTTGAGCTTAGAGACCTCCCGTAGAACAATTTTTTGCAGCTGATGACCTCATCTATCCCCTATTTGCGTTTGATCCACGACTTTTTGGCCACCCTGTAAACTAACCTCCTTTTTAATAAATCTCTTTTATCTTACTTTTAATTGTAATTCGTCTTTGTTTAACTCTTTTTGTACCATAACTTCCAATAGGAAAGGCTTTCCTTTAGTTTTGATATACAATATATATAATAATATAATATATATATTTATTTTTAGTCCGCACAATCCGTAGCCTTGATGTCGAAATGATCAACTGCCCCCCCTTTTTTGGATTTTGGGGGGGGGGGGGGGTTTTGGGGGGGGGGGGGGGGGAAACGGGGGAGAAGCAACAGGAGGGGGGTTTTTTTTTGGGGGGGTGGGAGGGGTGGTCCCTTTAACAAAACAAAAATGTATTACTTTATATTACGAAACATTAATAACCGGGATAAATAACACGAAATATGTTTTTCTTACTATCGCTATCGCTATTGGGAGTGTAGTTTTTATTAGGTATTATAGTACCCATAATGTAAATGTATGTTTTGGCAAGTTTAATTTTGACCCAAATACTCACCAAGGCGAATTACGTTACCCTTATTTATTTTTTTTTTTTTTTTCAATGGTTTTTTTGTAAAAAAAACTGTGTTAATCTAATAAGCACTTCACATAATTGACCAAACGCAAATAGTCCCATGCTAAAAAAAAAAGGTAGCTGGTGAAGCTTGTGTTATCTTAATACACTCAGGAACAACTATAAATAGTATGTCTAAGAAGAATATAGTACCTAACAGATATTATAGATAGAGGGTAGACACGGGGGGAGATTTTTTCGGATTTTAAAAAGAATTAGGAAAAAAAAAGTCAATTTTATTATAAATGCAAATTTAATACACCTCTGCAAGACCTAAGCAGAACACTGCAATATGCTCATCACATCGATGTTTGTCTCAGCCCGTCCTTTTTATAATCTATTTTGATCGAACCCGGGACCCATGGATTCGCAGTCAGGGGTACTAACCACTAGACCAATGAGTCGTCAAAAGTCGTTTATTAAACAAAATCCTAATCCTTAAAAATACCTACTATTTAAATATTATTTTTTAACCGCATAAGAATGAACTTCCTATTAAATATATGAGATACATATCTGAAATATTTTTTTTAACCAGAAACATGTTAAATTTTAGATGTTCTGGCGGACAGTACTACTTGGGGCCTTCGTGACGTCAGTGTCTGGTCATGGGCGGGTGCTACAGCCTCCAGGTAGAGCCTCCATGTGGCGTATGGGGTTCAGCAGCCCACCAGACTATGATGATGACGGCCTCAATTGCGGCGGTTTCGATAGACAATACAGGACAAATCGGGGAAAGTATGTATTCATATGTTTACCTTTCTTCATATGCAAACAACATGAGAGTGATAAAGACAATACTATATTTATAACGTGTAATCATACGTGTGTTAGTTCCATATTACCCCAATCTGTGGCAAGCACATTTCTGCGTGTTTAATTAGTTATATAATAATAATAAATCGTTTATTTGCAAAGAAAGTACATTCAGATTGATTAGTTATTAAAAACTGCACAATCAGCCATATAGTTGCAAATGTCAAATTAAATACAATATAATGCTATAATACATAATAAGAACAGTTTATTTATTTATAATTGTTATCAAAAGGTGTTGTCTAAATACTTTCCTACGCTATAAAGGCACCTTGCTTTTAAAAATATACGAGTAAAGTTATATAAAATTTATATATAACGTAAGTATCGTGAGTTATGTAAGCTAAGATTAGTTTAGTTACCTGTTATATATATATATATATATATATATTTAAGTAAACAATAAGAAGCGTAAACCAAATGTTAGCAATCATCGCACACTTGAAGCCAAGTTTTTCCCACACTCATAAATTGTAAGATAACTTTCTCGTTTCCGATTATGTCCAATAGATCGACTACACTTATATATATTTTTTATAGGTAACATAAGTGTCACTTAGATTTAAGAACCCAAGTTAGTTTTTAGCGTCACTACCCCACTACCACTAATTTTATGTTAGTTATAAGCTCATATTTTAACCGACACCCAGCTTCAAACAAAGTGTTACATTTGACATTTATTTGAACATATTAACCTAGCATTTACATAATTCGACTTTCCAATCATGATCGAGAGAATACTACATCGTGTTGACTAATAACTTTTATATTATAATTAAGTTGCGTAAGTAATGAAAATCACTCGAATCAGTGCAACAGTTCAAGCGTTTACGCTAAATCGATGTTTCGCTGTGACGAGGTGGAGATGAAATCTTATTGGTAATAATAAGAACACGAAAAATAACATATTTAATTACTTCATTTAGGATGCTACTAATATATGAAACTTGACGAAATATATTGGATTTCTATTTTTAAGCTATCGCGGATTTTGCTTAAAAGTAGTATTAAGAATATCCATAGCGCATCACTGCATCATGAGCACACCCCACATATAAACCCTTACGAACATACTCACACACCATCACACAACACAGCCGAATTAAGTATTACCTATTTAATGTATCTAATAATTTGATTAGATTGTTTCCTTTCGTAAATATTTGAGCCCTTTTGTATATGTTATGTATTCCATCTTTGCCTATATTATTGTAATTGTTTTTGGAGTTTACTCTTTAAGAAACGATTTGAGTTATAAGGCCCGGTACGGAAATTTTATGAGGAGTAAATCTTAACACAAATTAGCGTTATTTAACACGAAAAGTTATGTTATGTAGAAGAGACAACATATAATCTGTAGGATTACGTGTAAAAATGAATGGAATAATTAACAGACTTTTCTATTTTGAATTATTTTGAACATTAAAATTGTCATTTGAAGGTGGAAAATAATAAAAGTAGATTTAGTCCATAGAGTTTTTCAATAGTAATTCATGAAATTAAAACTAAAAAGATTGTTCATTCTTATTCTTCTCTTACTCTAAAGGTAACTTTGTCAAGAAAGAAAATCCTATTTGGGCATAGATGATTAGGTAATGTTTTATTACTACTACAAACATTTATATTATAAAAACATATATTCTTACCACCTTTAGTATGAAAATATGGTCGACAGCCACAGAAATTATCGCCATTTTATCGTTCGTATATCTAGTATTTTATTGAATGTTCCAAAATGTTGCTCTGTAGCCGACACACTTAGGCTACATCTTTTTTTAATATATTATTTATGTTAGCTGTAGGATTACGAAATTAATAAGACCACTGGAAGCTAATTTACAGCTAAATATTATTTATAATTCGTTGCCCATTTGCGACATAATATTCAACTTTAACATTTCAGATGCGGGGTCTGTGGCGACGCGTACGACATGCGCCCCCCTCGTACCCACGAATTAGGGGGCACATATGGTAAAGGCACGGTCGTTGGAACATACAGATCTGGGCAAATCTTGGAAGTGACAGTCGAAATCACCGCCTTCCACAAGGGCTATTGGTACTTCAAAATCTGTCCAGATCCCAAAAGGGAGACCCAGAGATGCTTCGACAAGTACCCTTTACATCTAGAGGATGGTGGGGTACGCTACTACCCACCGAAGGGGGGAACCCATAGAATGCGTTATCGCTTACCTAACGGTCTTTCGTGTGACCACTGCGTTTTACAATGGAGATATGTAGCTGGTAATAACTGGGGACGATGTGATAATGGAACCGAGAGTGTTGGGTGTGGAAATCAAGAAACCTTTGGAGCCTGTTCTGATATATCCATCTCTCCCTTTAGATATGTTGATGCGGAGAGTATACCGTTGGATATTAAGTCTGCAGAAGGTGAGAAATGTTCTATATTTAGCGCTGTGGATCAGTCTGCTTCTCAGCATAATTCTGAGCCTGGGCCAGTTACAAGAACACACACGCATTACACACTTAAAACGTACCTTGTTCTTTAAAAAAAAACGCGGGTTGCACTCCGGGAGTGCCGGCAGAAATGAAAACTTGAATATTAACGTTGTGAATTTTTGATATTTTGGAATGGTTAGGGAATAAGCTTGCACGAATTGCTTTAATTATCAGTATTAAAGTACTATCATTTATGTGGTGGAATACAATATTTATTTATTGCGCTATAATACACAAACATGACAATTTATATTACATTAAATACTCCGCGCCAGCTGTCTACTCTCCATCCGTCTAACGAATATTCGATCAGGTCACGTGTCCTGACGCGAGTTTAATATTTTTCCCCATTCGAAAAAAAGTGTACAACGCCGCTAAAGAAGTTTTCACTTCAAAAACATTGATTTTTATTTTTTTTATTATTATTATTATTTTGTGTGTTTCGTTAGTAATATGTTGTCTATATTCTATATTTAAGTAATCTTAAATTTACTTTACGTTTATACGGGAATAGAATCTAATGAATATCTAATCTAAGTCTATCTAATAATCTAATCTAACGAATAGAGGCTAATAGCCTATCCAAATAGTAATTTATGTTAAATCGAACCTGTAGGGTCTGTAAGTAATAGACTTATATAAACCATATTAGCATCTATTTTTAATTCGATTACACGCAGTAAAGCAATAATATCAATCCCCGCAATCGTCCATTTTGTCATGGTACATTTTCTGTATTTCTCAACCCGGAAAATAATAGTTCAGTAGTCTAACTATACATCAGATAAATTATTCATAAACCACAGAGGTAGTTCAAAGTAGTTCAATTCAAAATCATTTATTCATATAGGTAACACAATGTACACTTATGAACGTCAAAAAAGAAATATACATGAAATGCTTCTAATTTTACATTTACTGCCAGTTCTCAAATCAAGGGCGTAGAACGGAAGAGAGGAACTGGCAATAAACTCGATGTCTGATGAGACTTATGGCACCAATGGACTTCTTTGTGCGCCTTTGACATTCGCTCGAACTGTGAAGGAAAACATCGTGAGGAAACCGGCTTAGACCCAAACAGTCGACGGCGTGTGTCAGGCACAGGAGGCTGGTCACCTACTTGCCTATTAGATTGACAAAATTAACATGGATACACAGTCCAGTCCTATAAAGGTTCTAGCGACTAAAAATTTCCTATCTCATTGTACAACAAGCTCGATTTAAAGACATTAAATAGCAGATTAAACAAAACAAAATAGAAAAAAGGAACTTCTTACACTAATCTGATTAAATCGATAAATGTGTTATGAACGTCGAAATGACTACAAATTTCTCCATTCAAGTTCCTAAGCATGTTCAAAGGCCTATCGGTCAATATTGATGCTTGCAACTTTCATTAGAAACGCGTTTAAAATATTTATAGCGAGAAAGTAATTTTGCGTATCAGGTAATTCGTCTTTATCTAATACCTAACATGTGTAAGTCCAGTACGAACAAGCTATGCCGCGGAATTAATTCTTGTTGCCAAAGGCGGGTAGTTAATTTCTTGGGCTCTGGGCTATTACGGGAATGGCCCCGTAATAGACGCACACGCGAAAAAATACACTGACTGAAAACAACCGACAGGGAATTCCCCGTCCGTTCGATAGACGCGCATCGGTTGATCAATCTCAAGGAGTCCAGCCTTATGATGGGATTATTTTAAATTTCAGATTTTTTTTTTAATTTAAAATATCGCCTATTGTGGGGACTGGGGGCCTTTTGTATCCACGGGACCCTGGGCTGCAGCCCATAAAGCCCTTAGGCAGATCCGCTCCTGCTTGTTGCACCTCTTGAGAGGCACCCATTCCTGGTCCTCATTCACCGAAATCACTCTTTATTCATGTCTAAACCACTGCCGTCTCTCTTAAATATTTCGTAGTCAATACATTTTCCGCCTACCTGGTTTTCGCTGTTTATGATCTGCAGTCGATTCTGCTGGTTAGGGAGGATGTCGCCGAGATACTTTCCCCTGCTTGATGGTACGGACTAGTTCTACTTTTTTGGATGGTAAAGAAGGCATCGAACTGTATAGCGATTTATTAACCAGAAAATTATTAACGATGTTAAGAATAATTTATGTGACTAGCTTCGAACCGCTAGAGGACGCTAAGCTTGGAAAATTTTTGAAGAGGCCTTTGTCTAAGGACAAGCTGCAAATAAATAATATAGCCGACAGATTATATTATATTACTTTAGGCATATTTACTTAATATTTAGCATGAAGGCTAAACAGCATTAAAGGCTTTTTTTTATTATTGTTTATTATGTCGTTAGCTGCCGTTCGCTCTGTTTATTTTTTCAAGTCTTTTGCGACTAACAATAATCGCTATATTTCAGTCAATTAAGATAAAACCAAACTTTCTTGAAGATTCGTATTATCTATAGGTAAAACGTTTTTGAGTTTATCGCGTTCATATAGACCGATGCGGCCGCGTTCATTTTCCATTATGTTGCGACATATTATTATTATTACGGCTAATAATCGTTTATTTGCAAAGAAAGTAGTACATTCAGATTGATTTATTATAAAAACCGCACAATCAGACATATAAAGTAGGTATGCAAATCCCAAATTAATTATCATAATGTCATAATAATAAGAACAGTTATTTTTAATAGTTGTCAAAACTTACGATCTACTCTCCCAGGCCCCTTTAAAAATTTAATTATCTTCCTCTTAAATGATCTATAACTTATAGGAAGGTGATTAAATAGTTTGATAACAGGGCGAAAAGATTTTTGAAAATCATCTTGGTGCTACAATGCAGTCTCTCACGGCCGTGTTGGATTTCTTGGTAGATAACGAACGGTAGAATCGGTAGGTGGCACCACTAAATGTTTTTTAAAATTATATGGAATGACGCGTGTAAGTTCATGTAATCTCCTAATAAAGCCATAATCTTAATCTTTATTGTCTTATAAATTTTATACGCATCTATACAGGCCTTTGATTGCTGCCTTCGCCAGTTAATCACGAAATAAAGATAATAAACATACCAAGAATTAACCTTTCAAAACAGATTTTATTTTTAATTTATTTGTATAATCGGTATTGAGAAAATTATATTGACGCATATTTACGAAGCTTATTTATTTAGCGATAGTTACATTTAATATATTATATTTCGCGGCAAAACAAATAACATAGGTTTGGAAACCATAGATAATATTTATTGTCTATAAAAAAGAATTGTGAAAGTAGTTTCTTATGTGCTTTGGGCTATGGCAATGGGCAATAGTCTGTGCCAGTATTTAATATTTTATTTAACCGCATAAATGACGATTAGTCAAGTTGAAACGTTACTTAAAGTTCGTAAAAGAAGCCCAAAGTGCTAAACATTAAATATTATACTAAAAAGTAGAAATATTTCATTATACCATTTTTTTTATAGGGCTCTTCAAGTTGCTTCAAAAAGCAAATGTGGCGCCATATACCACAAAGCCTAAGAAAAAACCCAACAAGAAGAAAAGCCGTAGACAACCTAGAAAGGGGAATAAGAGGAAAAGGAAAAAGGTAAGAACTATGAAACACTGTTTTTTCCTTTTTTTATGTAACTGGAGGCAAAGGGCAGGAGGCTCACCTAATGTTAAGTGTTACACATCGACACTCACATTGCCAGAAGGCAAGTGCGTTGCCAGCCTTTTAAGATTTGGTACGCTCATTTCTTGAAGGACCCTAAGTCGAATTGGTTCGGAAATACTTCAGTGGGCAGCTGGTTCCACATAGTGGTGGTGCCAAAACTGCCTTAAGAAACGCTCAGTTGTGTAACGTCCATCGTTTTTTAATTATGATAATCAGGAAAGATTTTTTTTTCAGGCGAAGTCTATGGACTCTTGGATTTCAAACTGGCTTTAAGGGTTAACAGAGGAAATAAGTCTAGATATAATTTATCAATATTGAAATAAATACCAAAGTTTAAAATATATTTATTGCGTTTTACTGCACTTGTAAACTTGTTTATTGAATATTGTTGCAATAAGCTACTAAATTTAATTTCTCGTTAAACAGATAATATTAAATCGCTATGCAATGGTATCGAACCGAATACTCTCGTGTAAACAATTCACAGATGTGAATGATAAAACTATCAAATCGTGTTGAGATATTATATATGTATTATATATAATATACTTGGTTGAACACAGTGAATTTTTCTTTTAATATCCAGGTTCTACTTCGATATCTTTATAATATGTTCGCGGATTATTAAGAATAGATATGGTATATATCCTGAGTAATAATGAGTCATGTGTGATGACAAATAATTCGTATTGAGGTATGTTAAATACGAGTGTTTAGGCTTGGTCTAAGATCCCGATATACAACGACCTTCACCGAGATGGTTATTTAATGAAACGTATTTTATATTTAATTTAATATGTCAATAAATATAATCCATATGGGTTGCCTAGCAAATTTCAGTCCAGAGTATTTTAATTAATATTTAAAAAAAAATATTTTTTTAAACATTTCACCGGTATGATTATTAGATAAATTCTATACCAATCGAAAGTATGAAGCCCATAGAATATGCAAACGTTAGGTTGTTTTTAATCAATTAATTATTTATGTGTATATTTTTTATGTGACACTAAAGTATATATACATCTTTAGTAAAAAAGAAAGTTATAGTGATACATATATAATACTACCCTGATTAAAAATATTGATTGAAAAAAATAAAAAAATTTTACTACATGCAAATTATAAAAAAATATATTTTTTTTAAATATTAATTAAACATACTCTGGACTGAAATTTGCTAGGCAACCCATATGGATTATATTTATTGACATATTAAATTAAATATAAAATACGTTTCATTAAATAAGCATCTCGGTGAAGGTCGTTGTATATCGGGATCTTATACTAGCTTGTGTTAGTTGAACAAAAAGAAAATGTTTTGCGTAACGCTGATGAAGTGTCCAGCTTTTACAACTTTGATATTATTACGAAGAATATTCCTCGATTCCTCTACAACCTAGAGACGTTTTCAGCAAGCTGAAACGTGACTTTTTTATATTAGTATATTTCTGCGCGTAATTTGCGTCTTTTTAGTGTATTTAAAGTCCTCGTGTATTTATTTATAAAGAAGAGATGTACGGCATTTTCTATCCGATCCTCTAGTTCGTAACAATATATTTATATGTTTATTCATTTATTTACAAAAGCTTGCCAACGCACGGCACACAGATACATTGTTGAAAATCAAAAGACAAGATTTAACGTGAAGACACTTATAGGCAAACATCAGTATATATCCTGTGTAATTAATATTATTATTTTATATAATATATCTTTATTTTTGCTTTAAAATATATGATTTTAATTGTTTGACTTTATCGTATTAGTATGAATGAATTCGCTACTACCACAAATTACAGAATAAGTTACGTATTGTACATATATATTATGTATCCAACATGCGATTCGGCAGAGATGTCTGAATCAGTCTTTTAATCCCGGTAAAATGTACGATTCCGGTGGTGTCAGTTTCAAAACTTAGTGGTTTATATTCGCTTGTATTGCAATACAGCGTGGAGAATTAACTGGCAGTGGATCAATAATTATTTTTGAAAATAATTAAAAGTTCTACTAAATCAGACAATCATGGGGACCCGATTTTCTAGTGCGTTGCAAAGTTTTGCCAAAGTGCATCTTGATGGATCTCATGACTTATACAGCCTAAATTATTATTAAAAGAAAGGCTGGTGGCGACAATGTTTTTAAACTAAATACAACATTAACTAAATACAACTCATTGATGTAGTTTTTCTCTACTGTTTGGTATAATATATAGAATGTAATGTAACGTAAGCTGATATTACCGTTTAAGCGATAACTAATATTTTAAATTAAATATATTGTTGTTTTAATTTCATTTTCTTTCCCTATATAATATAACTATTATGTCATATTGGCGTCCGCAATTCTCTGGAGTTATTAAAATACTTTAACTATCACAAGGAAGACGTAAACTATAAAGTAATTTATCTGAATACACATAACAATAGAATGAATGCGTTTCGCGTCTTTTTTTTTATTTGATAAAAGAGCAGTTATTTCTTATACACAACGTTTGTAGCTGCAACCATTATACCATGTTCTACATGACATCTTAATTACTTAATAGTTAATTTATAATAAAAAAATATAAAAAAAGATTTGTCCTCTATCAGCAGTAGAAATGGTGGAATAGGAGCATTGAGAATACTATCACGTTAAATAATTTTTTCGCCTTTTTTCTAAGCTACATATTGAGTTGACGATATATAATTATTTTATTCAGGAAATAAAATAATTTCCCTAACGATAATTAAGATTATCATAGAGCAATAGAAATTAGAAATGCTAAGCCGATGCGGTTACATGAAACACCTTGTCCCTTATCAGAATTTACTTTATCTATAACCTAATCGTATAAATAATGAAAAAGTCATATTTTTGTTTAATAGAAATCTAATTGTGGTGGTGATTGTATTTAAGGTGAGTTTATTGAAGTCGAGGTACGCAATCTAAAGCAATTTTTTTTGTATATTCTTAAACATTCTCTATTTAGTTGTTACAAGACGAAATTGATATATACATTTTCATTTACATACAAATAGACACTTGTTGAATAAGAGTAAGATTCATAATGAAGTCAGACTTCCGTATGTCAAAAACTTAATGGATTGACATAATATGAGAGTCATAGAATGAAATGTCATCTTTAGATTATACTGTTTAAAAATAATAGATATTAAAAAAATTCCCGAATAAAAAACATGTTGTGTAATCTTTCGTTCAGATGCTGTGGCATCTATTAGCTCTGTCCACACTCGTGGTGACGGTATATGGTCATGGAAGAGTCCTGCAACCCCCAGGCAGGGCTACTATGTGGAGAATGGGATTTAAAACCCCAGCTAATTATGATGATACGGGCGTGAACTGCGGTGGTTTTGATAGACAGTATTCGGTCAATGATGGAAAGTAAGTTAAGTATAAAAACCTAATAGTAGATATACTCACTAGAGTAGTACTTCTGTCCGCGTTTGTCTACGTTAAGCCACAGAAATGTTAATGTAAACGCTACAGGAACAGACATTTTTAGCGTATTTTATAGATTTTAATTTTGTTGCGTTTACTAAATTTAATTTACCATTTCGGTTGCCTGATAGCGATCACACAAAAGTGGCAAGCCTTCTAATTATTTAAGAGTTCTTAGCATACTGGATTGGTAATGATCAAAATTATGTATTTGTATTTACTTTATTGGAAGAAATTATATTAATAACTAATTGACCCGGCAAATATTGTTTTGCCATATTTATTTTTAGGAAATTTTTTTAGTTCAATAAAAATAACTATCTACATTAATAAAAAATAGGGGTTGATAGTAGAGGGGTGAAAATAAGGGGTTGTATGTATTTTGTATGTTGTATCATAAAAAACAACAACAATCTAAAAATTTGAGGTGGACACCCCTTATCACTTCGGGGTTTGAAAGATAGATGATATAGATAGTAGCCGATTCTCAGACTTACTGAATATGCATAAAAAAATTCATAAGAATCGGTCGAGCCGTTTCGGAGGAGTATGGGACCGAACATTGTGACACGAGAATTTTATAATATATATATATATATATATATATATAACATATCATGAACTCATGATGAATTTTGTTGCGAGTTTTCAGAAGAGTGAATGATCAGTATTTTTTCGTTGAATTTTAACGAACGTTAAAAGTTTTGACATTGACAAACGCAATCTCCTTTATCAACGTAGTATTAATAATGCTGAACACATACTTCTGAAAACTCGCAACAAAAGTCATCATGAGTCATTGATGATGTATTTATATTATTAACATAATTTCCTTCAATGAATTAAATACAAATATGTACATAATTTTGATACTGTACTAACTAGCAATGCTACTTTTAAACAAATATGGAGGCATGAAATTGTTGCAATTGTTTGACACTTTGTTTACCAATTTACCAATCCAGCATAATAAGAACTCTTACATAATTAGAAGGCTTGCCGCTTTTGAGTAATCTTTTCCAGGCAACTGTAAGGGTAAATAAAATTAAATATTACGCAACAACAAAGATTACGTTATACATAAAAAAACAGACTGAGTGAACAAGTGGTATTCACTTCATTCATCATATTATTTAGACAAAAATGAGATTGCTTAGCAAAGTTATGTAAATAAATTTCTTATCCATTAAAGAAATTTCATTCTTTTACATTCTTTATACAGATGCGGAATCTGCGGCGACGCCTACGACATGGATTTACCACGACCTCATGAAAATGGCGGAACCTACGGCCAGGGCGTAATCGTCGGCGAATACGAATCAGGACAAATAATCGAAACGATTGTAGAGATTACCGCATACCACAAAGGCTACTGGTACTTCAAACTGTGCCCTAATCCAAAAATGGAATCCAACCAGGAATGTTTCGATAAATATCCTCTGGAGTTAGAGGATGGTGGTCTGTTTTATTACCCCCCGAAAGGTGGAACCTATACTGCGAGATACAGACTCCCTGATGGGGTATCTTGTGCTCACTGTACCCTACAATGGAGGTATGTGGCGGGGAACAATTGGGGAGTCTTCAGTAATGGAACTCAGTGTATTGGTTGTGGGAATCAGGAGACATTTGGAGCTTGTTCCGATATAAGTATTGCGCCATTGAAATATATAGTCCCTGAAGGTGGACCTTTAGAATTGGATGTGGCGAGTGATGATAACTAAGCGATGATGAGCATATAAGAGAAGATGTCAGATCTCAACAGACTTAAGTAAGGTGTTTTCTAAAGAAAAAAAGGTTTTTTTTTCTAAATATTGGTGACGTCATTCTTGGAAACGAACAAAATATACCTTTATACCTACTACGATTTTTGATTGTAACTTCGCCAATGCTTCCTTTTTATAATCTGCGTTGAAATTACTTATATAATAATAAGCGTTTATTGACATATAATATACAAAAAGAAATATACATAATATATACAATTATATTACTCTAAGATGCGGGAGAAGGCTTTTCCCACCCTGTTTTATTTTTACATCATCCAAGTTTTGCCAGCCACAATTTTTAACTTGTCGGCCCATGGCTCTATTTATTTAAACTTCGTTGCAATAAAAAAACAAATGACATACGTTATTAGGTATGCAGCGGGCGGCCTTATTACTAATAAGCGATCTTCGAGGCACCCCTAGTGAGAAAAAAAATACTAAGGCTAAAGTCCAAGAAGGCATAACCAAAATAAACAAAAATTAAAAAAAAAAATTACAAGTAACACTGAAAATCTATTGGTCTGCCCTTGTTTTTTTTTTTTTTTTGGGCCAGTCCATTCCAGGTTACCGGAAAGGTTTTTGACCATCAGCCATCTGTATATCGCACTACGCGCCCTGCCCATCTCCATTTGAGTTGTAGGACTGATAACGTAGTATATATCTTTATAATGGTATCGATCGCTTATACGAGTACTGGGGATAAATAAGGCGCAACTGCGTTTCTCTGTGAATACAAAAGATTTATTTACTAAAGAAATATCTATTAATTTACATTTAATGAAAAATATATATTTACAAATTATTCACTCACCTGTGAATACAAAAGAAACAACATTTAAAGCCTCTATTTTAGGTTTTATAAAATAAAATAATGTAATGAAAAAAATTAAAACATCTTACATCTATTATGTCAAGTGAGTAGTGACAAATTAAACATCGTCGATCAGACGGCAAAGAAGAAAAATAAATTATAAAAAGAGTTTGTATAGGAAAATATGTTTTCCTTACATATATATAAAGTACTAGTACTACGTACTATTCTATTGTACTCCTCAATAAACGGCTCGACCGATTTAAATGAATTTTTTTGCATGCGTTTGGGTGGCGCCCTGAATGGTTTAGATTTAGAAATCAGCCCGGCAGATGGCGCGGCGGCCGGTACTTTCATACTTTGTTTAATATCCTAATCGCTTAAAATATCGTGGAGGACGTCTGTCGGGTCCGCTGGTATATATAAATACATATATAGCACATACATATAAATGTCGAATAAATTAGGTCAAAAATTGACCGAGTCTTTAATTATTATTTAATCTCCTTTAAAGAGGGTAATCGAAATTTAATAGTATTATTTTTACGCAAACTTGTGTATTTGCGTATTATAGTTTTAAACTTCAGTGTGTTAACATTGCTTAAATATTGCAAAAATATATCCAACCATTTTAAATTGCTTTATTTTTTCTGTAGGCGTTAATTTAGTGTCATGGTAAGAAAGGTAAGATATTTGAAGAATTTAAACTAATTTTAACCGATGTCATCGTTTTGATGACCGTTCAGACCACAATGGTTGTCTAACGAATTATGACTTGGCATCTAAAAAACAGTCTAATCGCCTAATAATAATAAATCGTTTATTCGCAAAGAATGTGGTACATTTCGATCGATTATTATTTATAAAAATCCGCACACAGTCATATAAAAGTAGGCATGCAAATTTTATATTGATATTAGATACCCATACAAGGTATATTTTTTACATACAAGGGGTATTAGGTGATTAGAATGTTTTATATAAATTAATTAATTATCTTATACATAGTTATAATATTAAATATCTTAGTAATACAAGGACTTAAATATAAATAAAAAAATATTGTTATTTTGAGTCGGTTAACTTTTTTGGTAAAAAGGGACTACTATGAGTGATTTTGGGTTCGATCGACGGTTATAATAGTGGGTTGGAAAGCACTGCAAGGTTACTTGGCTGTATCCTATACACACACAATAGTTAAATTGTTTATTGCAAATCAATATAAACATTATGGGTTGCAAGGAGATTGTGCATACTACTACTGGTTTCCTATGCTCTGGCAAATACTGCAGTCAGGCAATGTCAAGTACAGTTTAAGAATTCAGCCTCATTTTATCAATAAATACAATTTTGTTTATACAAAAACCTCGTGGCGCTACAACCTTTTAGGTCTGTGCATCAGAATTCTGAGTTTGTTTCGTTCATTTGTTTGTTCTAATAGACAAATAGATGATCAGCCTTCTGTCCCTGATCCCACCATCTTTCTGGGTCTAAGATATGCCGGTTTCCTCACGATTTCCTTTACTGATTACCTTTTATGAAGAGTGTTAGATGTGCACATAGACAGAATGTCCCTTGATGCACAGCCGTGGTTTGGATCTACGACCTCAGGGATGAAAGTCCCAGGTTGAAGCCGCTAGGACAACACTGCTCATTAATATCAAACTCAAGTTGATGGATTTTGTATTTGTTTACGAAAAAGAAGTGAAAAAATTTGTTCTTGAGAAAGAAGGATAGCTTATATCGTACATTCGTTGGTAAATTTGTCCTTAGATGTTGTGGCAACTAGCAGTTGCTGCCTTAGTGGTATCTGTGTGTGGCCATGCCAGGGTCTGGTCACCACCGGGAAGAGCCACGGCTTGGCGGCTAGGTTTTAAAACACCGCCTGATTATGACGATACAGGCCTCAATTGCGGCGGTTTTGCCCGACAACATAATAAGAACAAGGGAAGGTATGTTTAAGACGAATAATAATTTGTATATTGAAATAACAAACTACTCCTTTCGAAGTTAAGTAGTCTAATAGCATAATAGTCTAAGTTGCATTTTCCTTCTTTAGTATATAATGTAGGAAGGCAAACGAGTCTGCGGGACAGCCATAGAATCGTCACAAAAGCCCCTGGACATCCAAGACCTAGTTTTACCAGCCTTGGAGGGAGGAGTAAACTCTTTTATAAAGCGTCAATAAAACTGACCCCGTCATAGTTATCTTCCTAAGTCTTTCCTTTTTGGTTACAAGTCAACACTTACAATGGGGAAGAAAACTGCCAAACTTCGCCGCTAGTAGCGCTGGTATCACTTGACAAATATAAACAAACGTCAAACCCCCTACTTTATTATTATAAAACAAGGTAAAACCTTTTTTTTCTTTGTGTGCAATAATAATGGCAATCACAGTTTTCCTAAGGATTTACGCATAAGACTCTGGCTCTGAAAGGACGTAATTTCAAAGCTATAAACTCTTCAAGGTTATGTTCGGAACATTTTATTGAATCATAGATGTAATTCTTATTCATAGATGCGGTATCTGTGGTGACGCATATGACCTACCCTCGCCGCGACCACACGAACTAGGCGGGAAATTTGGACCAGGCACCATCGTTGCTAACTTCACATCAAAACAGATTATCAATGTTGCCATCGAAATAACAGCTTTTCACCAGGGTTATTGGTACCTTAATCTGTGCCCAGACGCCGAAAGCCAAGAGTGCTTTGACAGATACCCACTCGAGTTGAAAAATGGCGGGTTTTACTTCTTTCCACACCGTGATGGAAATTATACGGTGCAGTACCGTTTGCCTAAAATATCTTGCGACCATTGTGTCCTACAATGGAGGTATGTAGCTGGGAATAATTGGGGGCATTGTAGCGATGGCACAGAGGGCATGGGGTGTGGGACACAGGAGACGTTTGGGTCGTGTTCGGATATTAGAATTACGCCAGTTGAACAGAAAAAGTTTAAGTTTTCTAGAAAATCTTTTGGTATGTTTACTGTCAAACGGCATCACTACAACTAACCACATTTTTATCTGTTTCTTTTATTAGTGCTTAGGTTACGCTAGCGTACTATGTATCTTTGTTTAAGTTATGTGCAATAAAGTGTTAATAAATACAAAAAAAGTAATATTAACTACTCATCTCTTGTCAAGTTTTGTTTAAACAGTATACCTATTTAGATATTTGTGTGTCATAAATGTCCATAATTATACGAAGTTAGAGGGGAAGATTGGGAGAAAAATGCTTAAGATAGACAGAGATGGAGCCAGTTGGAGGACGCGTATACTCTGTAAGAAGTTAAACAAAATAAAAACATTTGTGTTACGGTATCTTTTGTAAATATGGATGATTGTTTCAAGAAATAAATATGACTTAGTTATTATTATAAATGTCCAACCGCTTATGTAAAGGTCGCAGAATCAATTCCTTATTAAGTGAAAAAAGTATATTAACAAAATATTTAGAAATAAACCCAGATCTTCGTTCATTCAATCATACTTTTATATTCAGGGCGCGAACAATGTCCTCGATAACAAAAGTGTTACTTTAATTTTTTGTAAATTTTAAAGTAATACCATGAAATGATGTGTAGCTTTGTCGGCCTAGTAATCTAGAGATTAAACAATAGGTAGGTACTTTCTGAAACACCCCGACTGATCTCTGAATAAAAGCACTGTATCATTTTTATTCGTTCGTTAATATCAATTCCTTTGATTTCAAAGTTGCTTTAATGACGTTTTCAAGCTATTGAAATAGAAGAGAAACAATTGATTTGACAAATTTTGGACTGTTTGTAAATCACTTCCATAAAAAATCGAGCTGTCAAAAATTTACACTGAAATACACTTGACGTTAGTTTCATAATCCATTAGTGGCGCTACCACATTTTCAGGTCTCAGATTTTTATATCTGTTTCAGGGTCATTTGTCAATCTAATAGGCAACTAGGTGATCCTTCTGTGCCTCAGCCTGACACACGTCGACTTTTTGGGTCTCGGCAAAGCTCACGATGTTTTCCTTTACTGTTCGAGTGAATGTTCAATGCGGACATAGAAAGAAAGTCCATTGGATTACAACTGGGGATCGAACCTACGACGTCAGGTATGAGAGTCGCACGCTGAAGCCATTTTGTTCTTAAAGTATGTTCA